TTTGGGCTCCTTCTGGTCATCTCAATCCTTCCCCAAAAGGGGCAGCTGTTTCTTCTTTGGTGACTCCAGCACTTTGGGTCATGGGGACAGGGCAGCCTTGGCTGGTGGCTAGTTCTTCGAATTGCAGTATTTATGGATTTCCTGCCATCTCACCCACCCCGGGAGGCTGCAGCTTCCAGATCACTGTATTCYGTTAGGCTCAGGTTTTTGACTGTATTTGGGTGCCTCCAGTCCTATTATCTGAGACTAGCTGAAAATAGGAACTCAGTCTGATCTTATCTGTAGCTGTTACAGACTTCAATTATGTCCTCTCGGGACTATCTCTTAGTCCTAAGAAATTAGATCTCGGTTATTGTTTTCTTACCCCTTTGCCTGTCCTCATAAACCTCCTGCCAATGGCTTTTGCTTTGATGAATCTTTTCAGAAGCCAGCTTGGACTTTCATAAAGCACGAGATAATCAAGGGCTTCCGTTAGACCAGGCCTAACCAAGATCCCAAAGGCCTGTGGTCACTTTGCTCCACTTTATTTGCAGTATTATTATTCTCAATGTAGTGGTGAGGAAACGGAGACACAGAGYAGTTAGCACTTTCATTATCTTTCAGATCTTATATTCTCATATTCTGCAGCATACATCAAGCTGGACTTAGGTTTGGTTTTAGAAAGGACTCAGAAAAGCTGCTTGATAGAGAGCATCAAATACCAGCTGCAAATGAGGGCAGAGAGAGCTGAGAAAATGGCTCATGCGGAGGTTCTTCCATGCGAATATCTGAGGACCTTCACAAGATACAGAAATTATTCTAGGCCTGGGTTAGCTCCTGGCTTCCTTGGTCTTAGCAGAGCCAAGGACTCCGGCGTGGAGTCCAGCATGCCTCATTTACAAGGGTGTTTGTTCAGAGCCTGGAATATTTGTTTTATTGAGGTCAAGGCATGGAAAGAAAGACAAATTTATCAGACAAGATCAGGAAGATTAGACCCAAAGCTTCAATTCTTAGCACCCCAATTGCTGGTATGTTTGCAATCAAGATCTACTATCTCTGGCTTGAGTCCTTCTCTAAAGTAAATACAGAAAGTAAATATTTGTGACTTTTGTGGCTAGGATCTGCTTTGGACAAACGTTTTCRCAGTGTCTTGCGCTATGATGCTTCAAAGCCAAGCGGAGCCGTTCGGCACCTGCCCAAACCAACTGATCACTCGCAACRATGACACCTTTGTCCTCGATTTAAGGACAGCGCGACTAATTTATTAATTCGGAAAAGTCCTTCCGAACTTCCCCGTGGTTCTGTTGTTTAAGTACGATGCACTTGGCACTCGAGGCGCTCGCCGGGGCGCTCCCGCTCGCCCAGCGCCTCGGATTCCGATGCCCTTCCCTTGGCCGTCAGGCAAAGCCGGGAATCACGGCGGCCGCCGCGAGGTGGGGCTTGCGGCTTCGGAGGCCTGGATGTTCATTAGCGCCAGCTCGTTAAGACGGAGCAGAGGCGAGCGCCCCGGCGCCTGCACACACCAGGGTCGGCCGGGCTATCCGCGCTGCGGAGCAGGGGCTGGTTGTGGCTTGCTGAGTTGTCATTAGATCGTGAATCAGCCTAGAATTGTTTTTTCCACATTTTTTTCCCATGTTTTCCCTGAGACCAATAATAATGAAAAAATGCATAAAATGGGGCTGAAGTTTGGATTTTATGCGGTCTGGGGATAAAAGTGACACTTAAATCGGAGATCGCTCTATCGTGGCCTGCACGGGACCGCGCTGGAGCAGCGGCGTGGACCCCCTCCCGGGCCGCGCGTGTCCTCTGTGTCCAGCAATTTCTATCTATCATTTGTGCTAGYATTTCTCTCTCGGTACTGTGGCCCTCACAGGGGCATTGTTGCACTGAGCGGGCGCTGATCAAAATTAACAAAAGCTCCGGAATCTGATTTAGGACAAATATTTATTCCSCTTGCAATAACACGGAGGCATCGGGAAGGCATTCCACAGCTCTGCTTTCCCAACCTTCATTTAACACCCTCTGAATATCAGTCTCTAACCCCGGGCGAATGTATTAATTAAGTAAAATGAGTAATTATTTCCTTTTTCCTAGAAAGGATTTACCTGATAGGCTCCTAGATTTGATTGGTATGCTGATAATCTTTTTTTCTTTTTGGGTAGGTCATGTTTTTACACATTCTTTAATCAAACCAGAGGTTTGAGCCGTACATAAGGGTTTTTGGAATAGACTTATTTGAGCCTTTGCGGGAGGGTTTCCTGTAAGAAAACAACCTGACAGCTCAAACTAACTGTATTTTCAGCTGATGAAACCCATAAACATTACTTCTTGATGAAGACATTGAAAATGTTGATTGAAACGACTTCAGTTCGGCCCGGGCTTTTGGGCTTGTTTGGCTTTGTTTTATAAAAAATGTCCACATCAYTGAAAGCTGTAAAAGCCAGAAACTCCCCAGCAACAAGAGCAGACTCCTTTGATGTGAATTTTTTGGCCCGTTACCCACAAATATACATAGACACAAAGAAATCATCCAAAGAGTCTGGCAAAGGGAAGCTGCATTTTTTCCTAACAGGCCTGGGTAGTTATCTTTCCATAAACTCAGGTCTCTKTAGCTCCCGAAGGGTATCGAAATTTTACTGCTAAATCGAGCAAAATGGGGCAAAATACACAGATCTGGAGGCTGTGAGGGCTTCTGCAAAGATGTATTTTTAAGATCTGGGAGAGCATTAGCAACTATTAACTGAGCAGTACTCTTAGTGTTGAATAATTTCCAAATATTAGTGGCAAAATGCTTTTGCTCCTCTCTCTGATCCTCCACACAAATTCTTCCTCATCAGCAGAGACGCATTAGAGAAACAGCTAGATTTTAGTCATAAAYAAGTGTATTTCCATGCTACTTGGGTTCGAGCTTTGTGTCTTTTGTCTTCCAGGGAATGCTCGCTGTTGGGTGCTCTAAAAGGCACACAGTGACATCTAGTGATTGGATCGCACAGGGCGACTCAGCAGGGAAATGAGAGGCATTCGGGATGAACCCTGTCCTGCTGAGGGTTTGATAGCAAGAGCAAATCTGAATAGAGAAGCATTTCAAAGAAATGGAATTTAAAAAAATCTCATTTTTAAAATCTTTTCATAACAAAAATGCAAAAAGAAGTATGTCATGAAATCTCTTAATTTTTACAAAAACTCGTTTAAAAATTAATGAAAGATTTTAAGTGCTTCAAGGAGAACAGATGGACAGTATCAGAGGTGGGGATGTCAGTTTAAGAGGCTGGGGAATGATCCTTATCTGCAGCTCATTGGTTGCTTCCCAGCTGATTCCAGTAATGAAGTGAGGACCAAGGAGGGTAAAAGCGGGAAGGAAAGGGATGTGGGCTGCTTTGCTCTTCGGTGTTTGAGCCGGGACAAGGGAGTGTTAGTCTGAGCGAGTAAAAYTGGGAAACGGGGATTTATTTGCAACTCTGCTGGGAGAAAAGGTAAGGCAGAGCATTGCAAAAAACCTTCTTTTGGCCCTCAGGTGGATGATCTTTGAAAACTGCTCATCTAATTGAAGGTGGGTTCTTGTAGACCTGAGTTGAGGAATGGAAATGGTTGAGTGTTGMCTTTGCTGGCCTGAAAAGAAGCTAAATTTATAAGAAAAGAAGATGGTTTTGTTGTATAAAGATTCTGTGTCCCACTAGCTTGAGGCTAACTCTGTTATTTAGGATTACTTGCTTAGTGAAAATATTGATGTCCACAAGATGCTCCAATTTCTATTGCAGGAAGGAGGCTGCCCTGGGTTTAATTAAACTGTGAGACTAAGAGCACCAAAGATCAATTTTAAGCTTCTAATCTGTTACAGGCTGTGTTCTTTTGTAACCTATGAATTCTATTTTCTGGCAACTTCCACGGCTACTGGCAGAAACCCTAATGTGCATCTTGTTCGGTTGATCGTTGGCCAGCCTATTTGAAATAGTTCCTTTGAGTTGTGTCATTTGTGTTTTTCCCCTCCTTGTTCTCCTTTCCTTCAAAGGCAATTTGAYCATTTGCTTTAGAATTGAAACATCAAACGCCCTATAGCAACAGAACTTCCCAGCTTGGGCTCAGTGCTCTACACTGCTGCCTTTATTTACTTTAGACTCTTTGGCCTTGGAATAATTTCTGAACCAGCTTCCTTTTAAAAAGGGATGACTGAGATTTGAGTGAAAAAAAAATCGAGCTCTAAAGACTTGTCCTAGAGACCATTTAAATACAAGGGTTGGCCACGTCCTGAGTAAATGAGAACCAGTAGCTTACTGGGGACAAGGAATCCCTTTTTCTGGCTGCTTTACAGCCATGGCCCTGCGTTGCTACCAGTGTAGAAGCCGGGTGAACAGATGCCTCTATTTATGTTACAGCCTGCTAAGCGCAGGGCRCAGATGTGGATCACACAGTAGTGCTGTTTTTAAGCTGCTATTGAGGACTGTGGGGAGAATTAACCAAAGTCAGTATGTAAATTACTTCTATAAGCAGAGCTATGGACATAAATGGATGAGGAGTATGTTCTTCCGAGCTTGAGACATTCCGATTTGGGATCTGCAACTCAAATCCCAACACTTCAAACACTGATTCACTAAATTCAAGCATTGCTTGACACGTAGTTCTCATGGACCTTAAAGCACTTCCTTAAACAAATTTAAAACATTTAGCAATCTTATTTTTACTATACATAATACATTTTCAATACTTATAAATAAATACTCACAGTTATAAGCACTTAATCACATATATACACAAAACACTAGTTTAACTGATAGAGCAAGTAGGTATTTTTACAATGTTAAAACCAAATTAAATTTATTGTCATCTTGTTAAATAGTAACTCCATGTTTGAGAATAATACACTATTCTGTACAGTACACCTGCCTGTCAACATATGAACAACATGCATTAGAATGGACACATGCTAAAATAAGTTATTTTTTGATATCTTAACTTGCTATCTATTTTCTTCTTTTCAGAAGGCTGTTGAAGACTATTCAAATTTTCCAAGTAGAGAATTATCATCTGCTCCAGAAGACTTTCTTAATCCTCAATAAGTTAATTAAGAGATTCAAGAACAGAAAAAAAAATCTTGATTCCTTTGGCATAAATTGTTAACTTGCAGATCTAAAAAGCAAAACCAGAAAGACATCAGCGCTATTTCTTTTTCTTTGCAACTTGTCTCTTCCTGCAAGTGAAATGGAGACCCTGGCCCAGGGAGAAAAGGTAAATGAAGTTGTATAAAAGTGCACTGTGCAACAAACAGTAAAACTGATCACAAAAAACATGCCCTTCCGACATAAAAGAAATAACTCTGCTTATACTGAGGGATCTGTTGCTTTTGGCTACAAATGGAGTTTATTTTCTTAGCTGAGGTACATAAGTTGAGATGGACGTGTCTAAAACTCAGAATACCCCCCMCTAGTCTAATTTTGCTAATTTATATTTACAGAGGCCATCCAAAACAATATAAATCTACTGCTCCATAACTTCTGACCAGAGTATTCAGTAGGATTATTTATTGTTTTAGGAAGTAAAATGTTTCTTCATATGCAGTTTGTTTGGAGGATAATCTAAGAGCAAAACCTAACCCTAACCACTGAAGRCTTCGTAAAGCAACTACTGGATCCCAGATTAAGATAATAGACTCTAATTTCTGCAAAATACCACAACCCACCCACCTTTCGGAATACAAACTTCCTTTATAGCTGCCAGATAATTTATATACAGGATATCTTTAAAACAACCCCCAAAATAGACACAAGTTACCCTAATAAATCCATTCCTGTAGGTTTGAATACTCTCCAATGAGCAGACTCTCTCCTTCTCCAACTTGAATATCCTGTGCAAAACTGTTCCTTTACTTGGATGCTTATACCTATCASTTATGTGCCTCGCAACAGCAACTGATCTGCTGTCCCATTAACATCTTCAAACCTTGATGCTTGTTTCTTTAAAATCCCCAAACAGGAGCTGTTGCCTCCCCAGTCTTGTAGATGGCACAAAGACCTGCCATGACCTACAGWAAATAAATCTAAGAATCTTCCAGATCTTCCAGCAGTTTTGTATCCAAGTTATCTCCCCCAAATTTTTAATACTGTATTTTGTGACCTATTTTTGCCTATGTTTCTCTACCATAAGCCTTTCCATGTTATTTTTTTGCCTCCTATCTCTGTCTTTTTACACCTGTACGCCATGGCACGTGAGTAGCGCTCGGGAGTTTCAGGGTTACATCGTGAATCGTGCAAATCCTCAAGTAATTCTAAAGCCCAGATTACTGGGGTTGTCCCCACATGACTGTAACCAAGCCCGGAGAGTCCTTTGACTTTTCCCTTTTTTTTGGCTCTTTCACGGGATGCCATCTTTCCTTTGGCAACACTGCGAGGGAGGCACTCCCCAGTCATACACATAGGAAAGCCTGAGCTTAACCTCCTCCTTACAGAGCTTCCCTTCCTTCGCCAGGCTCTGGTGCTTTTCCAGCATGTCCTCGATGCTTTGCTTGTGAGTTACTATGTACTTGTTGTTGCAGCCCCGCGACTTATACTCGGTGTCGAAGCGCGGGTCGTGCACCCGCTTCACRTCCACGGGAGCCAGCCAGACGCCCAGGGAGACATCCTCGCTCTGCCACGTGTTCAAGTAGTCGCGGGCGAGGTGCAAGTAGTGCACCAGATCCGCGGAAATAACGTAACCGCCGCCCAGCGCGTAGGGCAGGTAGTAGTCACAGAGGACCCAGTCGCTCTCTTTCCATTTGCCCCCGGATTTCACCCGCCCGCGGCCGGAAAAGAAGCCCCAGTAGAGGCGCCGGGGCTCCTTGGCCCTCAGCTCTTCCGTGAGCACGTCCAAGCGCACGAAGGTGTCGTCGTCGGCCTTGAGGGCGAACTGGAAGTCCAGGCGCTGATCCAGCCAGGTGTAGGCGGCCAGCACTTTGGAGGTGAGGTTCTCGTAGGAGTCCCGCAGCTCGGGCAGGAGCAGGAGGTCGCGGTGCCGGCTCTGCTCCAGCTCCAGGCTCCGCAGCTCCTCGGCGCCCAGCCCGCCGGTGCCGACGACGAAGCGGCTCCAGACGGCGCCGTGCGGGGGGCGCGCGGCGGCCGAGAGCCACGTGCTGCGGATGATGCTGCGGCGCTCCGTGTACTTGGGGCCGCTCATGATGAGCACGGCCAGGAAGGCCGTCGCCTCAGCGGGGGCCGCCGCGGGCTGCAGCCCCCGAGGCACCCGCGGCGGAGGGGGCGGCCGGTTGTGAGGGAGCCCAGGCGGYGGCCGCAGCCCCTCCGAGGTGCACTTGGCCAGGTAGAGCAGCACGGCCGCGAAGAGCGAGAGCGCGCCCAGGCCCAGCGCCGTCTTGTGGCGACACAGCAGCCGCAGCAGCTTCATGGCGGCCGCGCCTCGACGGCGCCTCCAGGCCGCCCGCGCCTCGCCTCAGGCCTCGAGGTTTAGGCGGGAAGCGCGAGAGCGCCGCCCCCCCGCTACGGCGACCACGAGGGGACAAGCTTCCTTGCGGGAGGCCTCACCGCGCTTCGCGTTGCCTCTCCATGGCTCCCGTCCCGGCCTCCCGCTGCGGCCTAAGCTCCCTCCGTGCTCGGCTCCCTCCGGCGCCGACTCAGCGCCCGCCGCGCCGCTCTCCGCCGGCCCCCCGTGGGGGAGGGCGCGGGGAGGGGCGGCTGCGCCTGACGCCACCWCACCGCCTACGGCGGCCGCCATCTTGCAGCAGGGCACGTGAGGCGGCGGCCATTTTGGTTCCGGGCAAGGGAAGGCGAAGTAAGTACCGCTTGAGCGCAGGTTTTTTTTTTTTTTTTGATATTTACTCATTTGTTTGCTTCTTTATGTATTTGCCGTGAGCGGCACGATTATTAGCAGCCGTGCTTTGCTCGCCCCTCTCCGTGGGCCCGCGGCAGCCGTACAGCCCCCCGCCCGACAAATGGCGGAAGCGGCGGCTGAAGGCGAGGCGCGGCGCATCTCCGCCCGCCTCTAAGATGGCGGCCGCCCGCCCCCTGCGCGCGCGGGAGGCGGCGGCTGCGTCTCGGTCGCCGCCTCGTCTCCTCCCTTCCCTCCTCGGCCCGTTCCTCCCGGCCGCCCCGCTGACGTTTTTCCGCCGTGCCGCGGCCCCACGGAGCGAGGCCGGGCCGGGCATGAGGAGCCGCCGCGGGCCGCACAGGTAGCGCCTCGGCGGGGCCGCGGCTTCCACTGCGCGAGGCCTGCGGGGCTTGTGGGGACTCCTCGGGTCACCCGCGCTTCTAAATTAGTGTTTTCTTGKTTTTTTCCCCTCCTGCTGTGGTTCTTTTTCCCTCAGGTCTGCACACCTGGACACGCCAAGCAGCTCGTTCAAGAGCTGTCCCCAGGAGTGTCTTTCCTGTGTGTTTCCAGCGTTATTAGTGGTGTTTTAAATCATATTTCCCCCAGGAAGGGGCTGTAGGGGGTATTCCCCACATGAGCTCTTGCCCTGCTCTCCTTTGGGTGCCCTTTGCTCCGTGTTTGCCTCTCTGTGCGTCCCTGAGGTTTATCACCTGCCAGCTCAGCTCATGCCACAGCCGAAGGGGTTTTCAGACCAGAACTTGGTCCTTAAAATAAGATTTTATCTTCTAAAGACATAGTGGAGGTTGCAATTCTGTGGGCTGGTAGCTGACACAAGGTTATTGCAATGTGTGTGTGTGCAGATTTTTATATAGGAGATGCTTTAGTAGTGACATAAATGTTCTAGAGTGTATTCTTATTTTTTTTTTTAATTTGTTTTCTTTGTAGATCTCTTACTCCATTCCAAATAATTTAATTGGCTAATAATTTCAACAAGAGTAAAAAGATGATGTCAAGACAGGTATTTCTCTGCAGTTTGGGATCTCTATATTTATCCATTCTGTTTGTATTTCTTCTAATGGATGTTTATGCGAGGCCTGCAAACAATTCTGCCCTCAAGGAAAAGGCAGCTGAGGCTAAGGATGAGAACGAGATTTTGCCTCCAGATCACCTAAATGGAGTCAAAATGGAAATGGATGGACACCTTAACAAAGAATTTCATCAAGAAGTTTTTCTAGGAAAAGAGATAGAAGAGTTTGAGGAAGATTCTGAACCCAGAAAGAACAGGAAGAAGCTCATGGTCATCTTTTCAAAGTAAGTTATCTACAGGACCGAGGAAGAAGTTGTGTCCCGCTTCCCTGCTCTTCAGAGTGGAGTTGGAGAAGTGCTTTGTAACGACCCAAAATGATGTTAGGGAAGGGGGAGAGGGGCACATCCAAGTGTAAGCACTGTATTCACATCACTGAGGTGCAAACATGCTTGTATATGCACACACCCTTCCTATGAATGCAGTGCTAGGAAGGGTTTGTATGAGTTAATAAGCTCTCTAAGCAGAGGGTTGGAGGTCAGTAAATAGAATGGTAATAGGACACCCAAATTAGTGTATTCTTTGTGTTCTCTCAGGCACTAGATGGCAGAGTTGGCTTTATTTGTGTTTTTGCAATTGAGGATTAATTTTGTCAGAGCGACCTAGATTATATCAGTGCTCTTGATGCTGATTGTGACGTGGGGTGTGCATATACCTGAGATAATGAGGAGGCTCAACAAAAGCTTTTTATCCTGCAAATGTTTCATTAACAGAGTAAAAAATACCCATAGCAACACAGACTTATTTTTTGTGGTGTGTTCCTGAATAAACCAAATAGGCAAACCCTGAGTGCCTTTTCCATTCAGAGCAAGTCCTTTGTGAATATTCTCTTTAGTGGCAGTATGTATGCAAATACAAATATTAAGAAAGCTTTCAACTTCTTTATTCCCATATGTTTTCAGGAAATGTACAGCTCTTGTTTAATAATTTGTCATTTGCAAATGACAGGCTCATTCACTTCTGTCTGGTTGTTATGAAAGGGGTTTCTTTAAAGGTTCAAGTCAGCTTCACTTAGATATTCCTTTAAAGTTCTCTTCTCTGAGATGATTACCTTAGTTTTGCAGAAGAAATTTTTGGGGAATTTTGTGGCATTCCAGACTTTCTCTTGAAGGATAAGTAAAGGGAGAAATATGATGGACTTTTATGAGAAGGTATGTGAAAAAGTTTGTCACARGCTCCCACGAACTGTGGAAATACTTTCTTTCAAGTCATAAAGAAAACTGAATGTTATGTTTTTGGTTAGTGAAACCTGAGTTTCTAGAGCATGCCTATATAATGTAAAGGATTCAGTTCAAAGCAGAAATTATTATCTAATAGGATTGCTAAGCATTTAATATATTCTCCATCAGAATRGTTTAAATTAGCTTGAGATTTATGGAAGATTCTCCTGTGTTAAGGTGGAGTTTGACCTGTGTAGGAGGTCAATGGAAAGGAAGGAGGTGGAAGGATGTTGAAAATAATGGAGCATATTTCTGATGACTGATTTTACTAGATTAATGACATTGCATAGTAAAATTCAGATTTGGTGAGGCTTACTTTTAGAGGGACCATTATCTTAATTATCTAATCTCATAAATTAGATTATGTTTCTTCTGTGCTTGGATTTAGTAGCTTTGTTCAGTAATGTAATGCACGGAGCTTTCTGCCAGGATGTTTTTGTGGTGATGCTGTTACCTTTGTGAGTCTGAAAGCTGAACACCCTGCTTCTAAGATTTGCATTTTGCTGATCTTTTCAGCAGCTTAGAGGCAGCCCCCTTGTTTCAACTATGTTTTTTTTTTTTTTCAACTTGTGGTTGAAACTTGAGGCTGAATGCATCTCCCTCATGGTCATTCATCAGTCACAGGCTTAAATACAATTATTATCTATTATTACATGCAGTGATTGATAAATAGGCTCTTCCCTTCCTGTAAGATTCTGGAGTGCATCCTTTCCCAGGCAGAACTCACTCTCACAAGTCTGATTAGGTAGAGCTTGAGCTTTGGTGATGCCTCTAAAGAGAGTTGTCTTGCAGTGTGGCAGCTGTGACTCTGTGTTTAGACTGCACTTAGATCGTTTCAAAACTGCTCCCTATATCCCTCTTCCTCATTCCCTGTTTCTTAATTTCAAGCCTGCCTTGCAGAATCTAATGCAGTTTTCATTCCTTCTGGTAGTGGTACTCTCCCTGATGGGAAGATGTTGGTTATGACACACTGCAAAATCATTTTTCTGTCCCTTTTAACTAGTAGGATTGATGCAGCACCATGTATTGTTTTTCAGACATTTGTAGATATTTCCTTTACAGAAACTGAGGGGCTGTTTATGGGTGCTAGAATGATTTCAGCTCACATCCTATGGTTGGTACCTGCTAATTCACAAAAATCTGAGTCATCAGAGACTTCTTATGAACTGTGGTAACAGGAAATAAGCTCTACTTTCATTAGCTAGAGGAGTAATGTCCTGATTCAAAYTTCAAGATAAATGCGATGCTTGTTACCTGCTTGTTATCATGTGATTTAAATATAAAATGCAGATTGGAAGTAATAAGTTTGATGGCTTTGATCTAAAGGAACTTAAATGTCAAGGCRAAAATACTCTGTTATCTCTTCTTGTTTTTTAACAGGCCCTGTTCTGTATCAAACCCCCACTTGTTCACGGGCTAAATGCAAGGTGTACAAGTGGGAAACTGCTGCAACAGCTGTGTTTTTATTTGCTGATTACAGAAAAGCTGCTGATGCTGAATATTTTGCTTCATATATGCAAATATACGATATTTAAAAATCTCCTTATGCTGCTCTACCTAATGCAACTAAATCATTTATAAGATCAGGTGCTTGGGTGTTTTTTGACTTAGGCTGCTTGTCTGTTGTTCTTACACACAGAGTGGATATAAATAATGATAAAAAGATAAGTGCCAAAGAGATGCAGCGCTGGATCATGGAGAAGACAGATGAACACTTCCAGGAAGCTGTGAAAGAGAATAAAATGCACTTCAGAGCAGTAGACCCTGATGGTGATGGTAAGATGAAGAATTTGTCAGTCTCCTGATGACACCAAGTCAGTTGCTAGTGGCCGAACTAATTGGCTTCTCTTTGGATGTGCTATGATAAGTCCTACTTCCTTTGCTTGTAACCCTTTGGATCCCAGCAACTGAGATCCATGCAGAAAATAACAGAGCAAAGAAATCARTCAGCATTGTAGTCATGTGTTGACTACTGCCTCATTTCACTCACAGACACAAGAAATTGGAAGATCTCTGGGGATGGGAGGATGAAATGAAAATGAAAATACAATAGATTATTTTCAAAAGACTTGTTTGCCCTAAGGAGACATGAAGTGAATCAGGGGACAGCTGTTATCTTACTGTTCAGAAAAGTTGGTGTGATGGCTATGGTGCTGAACTCGTTAAGAAATGAGGCTGAAAGTTAAGTGTTTTGAAGTACTATGTATGATGTTTGAGATGTGGTGCTCTCTTACAGGTCATGTGTCCTGGGATGAATATAAAGTCAAATTTTTGGCAAGTAAAGGCTTTAATGAAAAAGAAATTGTAGAGAAGATCAGAAACAATGAAGAGCTAAAAATTGATGAAGAAAGTAAGTGCACGTTACCTCTCTAAAATCTGAGTGTCAAAACTGTCCTTATCGTGAGAAGAAGGTCTTAGCTGCTGTTCAGCACCTAACCAGTCATAAAGTACTACATTTTCCTGGAACTCATRTCTATGATCCTAAACACTCCTGATAAGAGTTTACTACTGAAAATTGCTTATTTCTTACTGCACATTTCAGTACTTTTCTATTATTTTTTTGTAACAATCTCCTCAGTGAATCAGACTTGTGTTATCTGTGGTCCACTGGTTGGGGGTGTTAGGTGCCCTGTTGCTTCAAGTGAAAAGGAGGTGGCCACACACGATTCCCCTCCTAAAACTGAAGAGACCCATATAGCTACCAAACTATGCTATGTTTAAAGAGATGTGTGCTTAAGCATTGCAAAGCATGCTAGAAATTAATAGCAGAAGTTTACCCAGCAGTTGTTTCATGCATCTGAAAAGTTCTCTGTTGAGAGAACGACTTTTTAGGTTAGCAAAATCCATCATTTCTTCCTTATCACTTCTGAAACTTTCCTTGAATCTGACTTGTTCTAAATATGGTAGCTCTTCAAGGAGTAAATTTCCCCCCACACACCCCATCCCCGCCATCTGAAAGTATTTAAATTTACTGTTAAGTAAAACATTGAGCCCTAGTCTTTCCTTGCAGGAATTAGTCATTTAAAAGTGAGTTATGTTATATTTTCCATTTATCAAAAAGCAACTAGAATGCAAATCGGCCTTTGAATTTCATGGCAGGGAAAATACCTGTGCAGTATGTTCTATGGCACTGTGGTTAGCTACAGTTTACAGGAATGCTCATCAGATAAAAGATTTGCTGAATAAGGGAAGTGTGTACACCACCAATTTTCTACCTACTTGACGAGCATTGTTTGGGAAAATCAAATTAGCTGTCTACCGCTTCCTGAGGATGATGGGCAAAGCTTCTTTGTCAAACTCCACTGCAGTGTAAAAGTGCTTTGCTGCTGGKTTTTTTTTTTTTATTTTWTTTTTTTATTTTTTTTTTATTTTTATTTTTATAAAATAACTCATTATGTACATTCTCAGACATAGTCTGAGGCAAAAATTGCTCTAATAAAACAGTTTGGATGCCAGGCCACAGCTGGGGCATGACTGTGGTTGACCAAGTTGTCAGGTAGCTGCAGCTTCAATTAGTGGTTGACACTGAGTTCCAGCTTAGCCTGAAGGAAGAAGGCAGGAGAAGGGAGGTTGATTTGTGACTTCTGAGCATTTGGGGCTGACAACACAGAGTAAGCATGGGCTTGTTCTGTATTTACTAGTGCACTTGAAGTAAGAAATACTTCAAGCAAATTCACTTTATGCTGCTTAATAAGACCGAAGGAATCTTCACAAAAAATCTTTGAAGAAATAACTTATAAATGTAACTGTCAGTTCAAAACTATAGATACTACCACTTGCTGCTTTATTCTCTTACAGCTCCTCAATTCATGCAGGAGCTGCTTAGGACAGATTAAAAAAAAGACAGACTTAATAAAACAAAATAGAACATTTTTTTTAATCCAAAAGAGCTCGTGATCTTAATCTGACAACACCTGACTGGTACTTCAGAGCATTTACAGCACTTCTGAAATGCTTCAGATTTTTATTTGCTAGTATGTTCTGGGGGATAGCAAGGTGCACCACAGACTGTATTTTTCCAGCGTGTCATTTAGAAAATGCCCACACTTGAGAGAAAAAAAAAATCTGCAGGTATCTCTTTCCTGTTTGGTTGTGCTCAGGACCTCTAGGKGTATGTAATGTTCATGCTATGTGTTTGCAGTTTGTGTGTGGTTCTCTCTCTTCAAATCTGTGGCGGACGCTTAGTGGAAACTGTTATTCAAATGAGGTTTTTTCAGTTGAGTTTAGGAAAAATGCTCTTAAGGTGCTTGTCAACATGATGTGAAATGTAATGAGAGAAGCAGAAACGTGAAGAGATTTCTGGCACGTCTGCACGGGTTCAGCATTTGCTCCTTGAAGCAAAAGTATTGCCCTTCATTAAGTTGTAGTGGTAATTAAAACATTTGCAGGGCTTAGGTCTGAAATCAGCTTGCTTTCTGATACGTGATAGATAATTAGTTAGAAAAAAAGGAATAAGTACTTGTAACCTTAGGTAAATGCAAAACGAAATGCATTTCTTGGTGCTGACTTTGCATCTTCTCCTTTCTTTGCTAAAGTTGCTCTCTTAAATCTCTRCTTCCAAGAAAATGAAAGTTTCTTCCAAAAATGCTGGCTAGTCTTTTTGAGGCTAAGAACATAATTTGTCTCTGGGTAATGGATTCTTTTGAATTCTCAACCCTTGGCAAGATAAAGAAGCAGGAGCAGGGACAAGATAAAAAAGAATCTTTCATAGCTTTCCTAATACCAAACTTTACTGGTCCAGCTGTTCTGTCTGTTCAGTTAGAGGCCTTGAACAGAGCAGTTATCCATGAGATATATTTGTGATTATTTTAAAAGTTAGGCATATTTTTAAATTAAATTTAATAATCTTGTGTTTAATTTACATTTGTAGTTTTGTGGTGGAGGGTAGAGCTGCTAACTGAAATAGCAATATGGTGGAAAAAAAACAACCTTTGCACTGTGCAAGTGTGTAGCATACATAATTCTATCATCGCTTTGTGGTAGATCACTATCACTATGTCAACTATTTTCAAATCTTTTGCGTTTGTGCATACCTTAAAGCAGTTGAGCAGTGCTACAAGTGTTTCTGGTTTAGGTATTGTATTAAGAATGCCAAACTGGAGTAATAAAATTAGGCAGGGTGATGCTGGAGTGATAAAACATGCCCATTTAATCATGCTTGGAACTGCAGTGTGGAAGAGCAATATTTTGTGATCYGTGGTAGACTTACAAAGGAGCCTTAGAGTAGAATAAACTTTTCTAATGCACAATGCATTAAAAATGGTGCTTCACAGATCAGAGGCGTCTTCTAGATCTGTCACTGGTTGTGTTTAGTAGTTATGCCTAGGAGTTTGCAAGCATCTAAGTACTCTGTACTGCACAACATTGAATTATTCATAGTTACTACCTAAAGCAGCTGTTTTTTTTAGTTTCTTCTACAATACTTTCCACTTCCTGTACTGATTTTTTGATGCAGTTAGAGCTAAATCTTTATTTTCATCTCTTGACTTCAGCTCCAAGGTTTGGTTAAAGAATCTTTTCTAGTGTGTCATCTCTTTGCTATTCAAGCTAATTGCACTTCGGTTTAATGGCTTAAACCTTGCTTTTTTTTTTTAGCACAGGAAGTTTTAGATAACCTGAAGGATCGGTGGTACCAAGCTGACAACCCGCCTCCTGATCTGTTGTTGAATGAAGAAGAATTCTTGTCCTTTCTTCATCCTGAGCACAGTAGGGGAATGCTTAAGTTTATGGTGAAGGAGATCATCCGAGATCTGGGTATGCCATTTGAAATCAAGCTTTTTTTGAGAGTTGTTTACTCTCAGCAGTTTTATTAGGTGCAAACTTCAGCAAAATGTTTAAGGAAAATACAGCATTAGCGCAGATGCTGACATTACTTGGAGTTGTCTGTGGTTAGGTTAAGAAAAATGAAGTTAATACAAATGCGTTTAGGTTAATAAAAATGAAGAGTGCCCACTGATACCTTAAGCGCGTGACGAGCAAATAAAACTTATTTAGTATRCTGAGTGCATTTGGTTTTGGCTTTCTAAAACACTAGGTGAATCATAATGCAGACAGATGTCTGCTACCCTCAGAGATATAGGTGCTAGTTATTCTTTTGTGCTAGAGTCAGGATTGTGGCCTGCTCAAAGCAGGCAGACTCTACCAGTGACATCTTTGACGTGAAGGAATTTCTTATTTTTCCATGAACTTGAAGCAAGCGCTTTTCAACTCCGTTACCGTGTGCTCCTGTTGCAGATCAAGATGGTGATAAGAAGCTAACGCTTTCAGAGTTCATTTCATTACCTGTTGGCACTGTAGAGAACCAGCAAGCTCAAGATATTGATGATGATTGGGTAAGAGACAGAAAGAAGGAATTTGAGGAGGTTATTGATGCCAACCGTGATGGTATTGTGACAATGGAAGAGCTGGAGGTAAGACTCCCTTGACTATTTATTTCAAGTATTTTTCTAAGAACAATAGATGATTTCCTAATAAAATTCAAAATCCAGGAATATTTGAATTAACAATACTGCTTATTTACTTGACCTCTGGATTATAGTGTTTTTCTATATTGGTTATGGGCAGGTGTAATGCTTGCTTTTAAGAGGAAGGGGAGTTTTCCTAGCGCAACTACTATTCAGAGTAATGCTTTTGTTTTTCTCGCCATATAGACACATGGCTACATAGGGCATAAAAGAAAGTCACTAAATTCATTGAGTCTTCAAATTAATGGCACCATGAGTCGTAATTTCAGTTAAAAAGGAAGTATTTGACAATCTATGTGATCCTGAAAAAGAAAAAACAACCAACCCTGGTGCCCCGCGAGCCTAGAAGATAACAGATGTGTCTTGTCTTTCAGAGCGTATGTTTTATTATTAGGACAAATACTTTTCCTAATAAACTTGTCTATAGAAGAGTCTATAGAGAGGGTTTTGTAGCCCTATAGCGGTGGCCCTTGGGTGGCAAGTGGAAGAGGCTTGTGGCTTGTTTCTAGCTCTTTTCAGAGTGCTCTGAGTGCCAGCATTCACAYTGCAACATAAGCAGTGTGAAAGGATAAGCTGTAAAATATTGGTCCTTTACCCGAGAAAAATGAGTGTAATTTTAAAGTTCCTAACCTTATTAGTTATCAGAGGTGTTAATTAATATATGTTTGTAAACTGTTACAGTTAGACATAGACAAAATATGAATAGATTTTCACTGAAGATTTTATCCTAGAAATAGCTGTTTTATCTATGATCTTTTTCAATAAAAGTGTATATATTCAGGTGGTGTTCTAATTGTAATGTTTTATAAAATAGCATTTACAGCATTTTATGTGAAGAAAGTGAAAGTAAAAATAATCTCTAGTTGTTCTGTATCATGAACTAAAATGTACAATTTGAAAAACTTGAAATTATTTCAGGTTAGGTAATGGATATGTTTCGTTTTGATTAAAGACTTCTGCCTCCATAAATCYGTTTGGCAAGTAGTTTAAAATAGGTTTATGATTCTGCTTTGTGGAAATGTGTATTTAGGGAGTGCAAATGGTTGTCTCTTGTTTCAGGAATATATGGATCCTATGAATGAGTACAATGCCCTCAATGAAGCCAAGCAAATGATCGCAGTAGCAGATGAAAACCAAAACCACCACTTAGAGCTGGAGGAGATCCTGAAATACAGCGAATACTTCACTGGCAGCAAACTGATGGACTATGCACGTAACGTCCATGAGGAGTTCTGACCACGCTCACTTCTTCAGAGCTCTGAAGCACCTTCTCACCTTCCCAAAAGAACCCACCAAAACAAACGAGAAAGTTACCTTGCTGCTATCTGTGTTGTATGCATACAGTGTGTTGTCTTAGACTAAAAGCTCCGTCCGTATAAATAAAAAACCTACAGTTCTGTTGCCTGCAATACAAAGAGACGCAGAGGCAGGGGGGGAGTCTAAAAATAATAGTGCAGATTCTGGGTTTCATCAACTCACCCTCTTTTGTGCAGTTAATCCAGCTGAATTTCAGCTGCTTTTTGCTAATCGTATTTGGTGAAGGCGTCTTAAATATTTTTCCCCCCTTTTTTTTTTGGTTTTGTTTTGTTACCTTCATAGCTGCTCATCCATGGAAATCACGAATCACATTAAAAGATACCGGCTTTCTTAAAGGGTTTATTCAAATCCATAGGTTCTGATGTCATGAAAAATATCCATCAGTAGACTGATTAAAAAGCTTCTATTTTGCTCAGCAAAATATCCCTCTGAATTTTGTGTACAACTTRGATCCACTTCAATATTTCTTAGTTTAAAAAACAGTAAATTGTTTCAGGATGCTGCCCTCTGGGCTGTTTTTGCTATGTGTGGTTTCTATAGTCATGTCACTTTTTTTTTTTTTCCACAATTCTACTACCAGTATGTGTAGTCAGCACATATTTTAGTGTTGTAAGTACTTAGTATCAATGAATTTCTCAGCTGGTGTCATTGCATTTGTCTCTAGAGCTCCGTCCTTCATGGACTTCAGGGATGTGAACCCTGTTGCGCTAGCTCRTTTGAAGGCATCAGCTCCACTGTTACTCTCTCATAACTGGTTTCCTGTAACTGTTATTAGAAATATTTAAGACTTGAAAGAAAAGAGATGATAGCCATATTACTGTTATTCATTTGTTTACAAAAATCTCACTTATCCTCCAGTGGTTTTTTCAGTATATCTCAGTCTAACCCTATACTGTTGAAGACCTAACATACAGGTCTCCCCCTGTATCACTGAACTAGCTTTGGAAACTGGGGCCAGGAACTTGCTTTAAAAGTGACAGAGAACCTGTTTTACATATGAGTTAAAAGGAAAACTGGTTTTACAATGTGACTGTTCTTTTGTTGACCTCTATACCATGMCTGTGGAAGACTAGGACTGTTTAGGTCTGAAAAAAAAGCCTGAAATTAACTCTGAAATACAACACTAAGGGGAAGATTTCTCTGTGGAGTTACAGATGCTGCGTTGAGCTCATGGGATCCCTCTTCTAGGATGGTGATTTCTGCTTAAATTCCTCATTAGACCTGCCGCAGTTGCTTGTTTCTCTGCGGGTGAGTGATGCTGATGGACTCGTGAACACTAAGGCTGCAGCTGCTGCTGCCTTTGCTTTTGCATCGCCTCTGCCCGAGCAATGYGCAGCCAGCTCCGAGGAAGCTTTCTAATCAGTCTGAAAAGCATCTCCCAACACGAGGATCATATCCACTATGGTCTAAAATAAGACAATAATTTTGATTAGGCTTCTATCTTTACCCTAAAAAGCTTTTTTTTTTYCCCCCCGAAGGATTGCCTGAAAATCCAAGACACTATATTTGATTAAATTTATTAATGTAAATATTTTTTTTTGATTGTGTATTTTTGTTTTCTGTTGTTAAATGGCTTGTATCTTATCCAAGTGACCGTTTTTCAAATGCTTCACAGCTGTAGCTCTTGCTATCCGTGAGGAACGGATCAAGACTGTCGATGATCTCGCTGAGACGAGAAACGTCCCATTAACAATACTGGTTTTATGCAGCAATAAAAGTCACAGGTTTACTGTTAACGTGAGACCACTTGGAAAGAATTTGTACTTTGCCTTAAGCCTGTGTGGGCTGCCTTTCATTTTACCTAAAGCTCCAGTTTGTGAAGATTTTCATGTGCTAGAAAAACAAGAAGCATCTCCTGCTTCTTCCAATGGGCGAGCTGGGCGCTTGAGCTTTAAGCAGAGAGTTGTGCCCCTTGCCGGGGGCTGGAGCGCGCCCGGCTTTACAACTAACAGTGGAAATCTTTTGGTAATTCAGGACGTTATCTTTCTGCCTTTGAATATTGAATTTTGAGCTGCAGAGAAGTGCACTTTCTGAGGAGAGAGGAACCGGTGGGCGTGGAGCACATGCTGGGAACTTCCCGGCGCCTCGCATATGAACCGCTCTGCTCACCTGCAGCCTGGAGTCTCTTCCTCCAAGATTTTGCCACTCGCAGGTTTTTAGCGGGACTCCCGGGCGCCGTTATGGGTGCGCAGATGTTAGTTGTGAGGTTTTCCTCATGGTTTTGTGCTGTTCTGCTCTGGCTGCTGGCCGTCGCTCTCGCCCAGTGCCTGGGGCTGAGGTGTAAAGAGCACGAATATCCCTTTGGCGACAAATGCTGCAAAGACTGTGCTCCGGGTGAGTAACCTTCGCTGAATATCTGCTGTGCTTGTGGCATCTCACTATATCGAATATCAGGTAACAACCCCCAGGTGGTGTAGAATAGCTTAACAGTTGAAAATACCATGCAGACGTATGAAATGYAACGGGGAAAAAAAGCATTTGGGCATTTCATATCCTAGTTATTTTTAACGTGTGGAATTTCGGAAGTCTTTGCTGAGAGAGTTAATGTTCTCGATGTCGTTTGTACAGCTTGTTTTCGTTAATGTGTTAGACTTTCATTGTGGGCCTATCAGCTGAGAAAAGATGCTTCTGTTACCATCCTTTCACTTAATAAAATGCAACTCAGAAATACTGCAAAATAGTAGAAACCTTCAGGTAATTAAGTCTGTTAAAGATTATTTAAAAGCTTGCTTTTATATCAAGGTTTGTACTAGCTAAGACTTTTTTTAAAGCAAAAATGCAACACAATAAATGAAAATTGAAAACTCTAAATGTTAAGCAAGCATTCTTTCTTTCCCAATGGTCTAGGGGAGAATGGTTTTTCTCATTATAGAAGTGACTCGATGGTGCAGACTAACCACAACTAACAGGTGACACTGCTGTTCAAGGAGCAAGTGCATTTAGTACTGTCAGTACTGACAGAAAAGAAGGGTAGATCTTTACATCTAGTGAGAGATTAGATCTCGTCCATAAATGCCAATTTTTCATTTATTTTCTATTTTTATAGGTAAGCTTGCTGCAAAATGCCTGTGTTCACTGATAAGGTAGAAACAGTAGCATCTTCTAAGGGGCTGAACCAATGGAGAGATAGGAGACTTGAGGCAGCTCATTGCATGTCCTCAGAAGTATTGAAGTCTGATAATCTCTGTGTCTAGAAGTGTTTTGTTCCATGTTACTCTGAAAGAGCAGCCTTTTTTGCATGAGTTTCAAATCTGTTGCTGTTGGGAAAATGAATTAATTTGCATTGTGTCACTGAAGATTTCTTTTGACACTGCTAGCACCCAAAATACAGAGAAAACCAGTGAGAAAGAAACTTAGTGCTCATGTTTTGCTTCCAGAACAGGAAAATGGAAAAAAACCCCAAAATGGGTTCTGAGAATAAGGGCACATTTGAACACAGCTATAAAACTCTGATCATTAAAATTGTGCGTAATTCCTGCTGCGYTTGTGCCATGTGGATAGAAGTGAGACGGGAGGAGTGTGTCCGACTCCTTTTCCAAGGTCCACTGTTGACTTGGAATGTACCAGGAAAACCATTTGGGGCRTTGCCTCGATTCTCAACAAGTTACTAGAGCACTGCTAGTCTTGCTAACTGATTAATTTACAGTGATTTTTATAGGACAAGGTTGGGGGGGCTTCTAGCTCTCCATCTGCTCAACGTTTTTAGCCACGTTTTGAATGGAAATGTGATTTGGGGCACTTTTTCACTTTAACATATGGGAACGAAGAGGAGTTTTTTAAACTTTCTCCTTCTGCTTAATCTTTATTTTAGGTGAATGGATGACAAAACGTTGCACAGCAACAACAGAAACAGCCTGTGCTCCCTGCAAAGATGAGTTCTTTAGTACTGAGCACAACCACAACTTCTGCAGGAGYTGTACAGTCTGCAACGGTTAGTAAGTCATCCGTAGAGTGGTCATTTCCTTATGTGGCTTATATAGAGCTAATCATTCTCTATACGGTTCCTCTTTGCTTTCTCCTCAAAAGATGGTAGCATAAAGCACCTAAAGATGGTAGCATTTCACCCGGGAAGATCAAATCCAAAGACTTTCTGGGTTCTCGTTTCAGTAGCTTGTATCTCCTGATCTCTACTGATGACAGACCCTTCAAAGGGGTTTTAAACTGCTTAAAAAAAGGGGGTTGAAAATGGTGATTATTAAAGTTTGCCCTCTGCCTGCGGTGGAGAGGCACCGAGTAACYGGCTGTGTGCTCCGTTCCGCTCTCCCTAGGGCAGGGCAGCAGGGAGGTGAAGCGCTGTGAGAAGACCTCGGACAGGATCTGCACGTGCCTGGCGGGGTACGCGCCGCTCAACAGGCAGGCGCGGCGATTTGGTAGGTGGGGATGGTTTTCTTCTTTCATTTGCATCTCCAAGCAAATGTGAACTGCGGGGCGGCCGTGCAGCTGCTGCTCTGTCATACCCGAGCGGCTGCAGATATTGATGCTCTTCTCCGTCATTAATATCCGTAATTAGACTCCGGAGAAGGCAGGAAAGCTAGCCAAGTACTGAAAACAAACACCGAGCACGTTGTCTTACTCCTGAGCTATTGTAGGTTGGTTTCGTAAGGTAACGTGGGTATGGTTGGGTCTGTTCTCTTAGTTAGACTGTTAGCATATGCTATCATGCAATTGCTGTTTAACTGTCATGTCATTATGTTACCAACTTAGGTCTAATTCTTTCTTTTCCAGAATGCTCACCCTGTCGTGAGGGGTTTTATTCCACAGGGGGCAATGAAAGCTGTCGTCCTTGGACCAAGTACGTATCACAAATACACTCTGCGCAGCGATTTTCTGCAGCAATAAATGCTCAAGCCCTTCTGAAAGCTGCTGGATAGAATAAACTGSCAATAGATGCAGTGAAATCCTGATTGACTGTCTGGAGCCTTTATGTTGGTTTGAGGYATCTGTCTGCCTTCTGCCCTTGGCCTATCGGGAGTATTTGCAGCCTTTCCTAAGGCTCTGGATGCCTTTCTCTGGCAAAAGGCTCCCTTGTCAAATGGAGCTGTGCGCAGGCACCAAGTAAAACAGGTAACTGGACCACTTTGGCTTTTTTCCACTGATAACTTTGATATCGGACACTTACTTGCTCTTTACATACTTGGAGAATCCCAAAGAGGTGAAGGTTGAATATGATGTGAAGAAGAGTCACAATGTTCCCTTCCTTGTTCCATGCAGATCACTTACGAAGGCTGTGTTGAAACCTTTGAGAAACTCCACTAATTTATTTTACGTCTCTAGCTGTAGCGTCCTTGGAAAAGAGACCCTTCGAGCAGGGACGAAAGCAGAGGACGCAGTTTGCAGCAGCGCGGGGACCGCGCCAGCCGCCTCGCCGAGCGTGACCTCCGCTCTGCTCCTCTCCACCACCCAGCGCAGCACGAAGGTGCTACCTGCGACGCTCTCCCCGTCCAGACCCAGCGTGGTCCCCTTTGTCGTCTGCCCGGATAAGAACACAGAGACTAACTGGGGTGAGGAGGGCGAACGGCCGAGGCGTAGTCTGCTGGTAGCTGCCTGAGCGGGTCAGAAATGGCATTGCAGCTGATTTCGCGAGAAATGCRGGCCTTCTTTCTCAGAAGCAGTAACTGCTCTTTCCACCCAGTCTTGCAGTGGCCACGTGCAGGGTTCCAGCCTTCTTGGTGTCTTTCTTGGGGGCTGAGACCCCTGCGCTGTGGGATTCAGGGGTGCTCACTATTAAAACTGTTCTGCTCTCCCTATTTCGAAGACAGAAAATCCCCCAAACTTCAACTAGAATGATGTATCTCTGTTGATATATCCTTTCTATGTTTTTTTTTTTCTCTTCTCTTTAGGTTCTTTATCACTTATCCTTATTTGCCTGGTACTGCTTGTGGTGTCCGGAATGTCCATCCTCTTGTTGATTATCCAATCGGCCAAAAGAGACACCAAGAAGAGGCCTTGTAGGAACACCCAGCAGGGTGAGTGGCTTGTTAGGGCGAGACCTTACAGAGAAGAGAATAATTGGGGCTCGCTAGTTGAGCTTAAGGAATTATTTCCATTCAAATGAGATTGCCCAACTGTGTAGCGTGGAGTCACCTGTGGTGAATGTTGATAGTCAATTCTCTGGTCCTGATGCCTCAGAGGTGTCAGTATCTTGCTTTGTATTATAAAGCACAGACTCCCCTGTTACTGTGCAGGAAGATTGAATTTCTAGAGCGTGCTCTGTAGGGGAGCAATGCTAAAATACTGCTGCTTAAACTCGGTGTTTCCGAGCATTTACTGGAAGGACAAGCACTGAATCAAGTCACTCGTATGTGCTAGGCAGCCCTGCCACCCCCTTTGCCCTTCTTTGCCTACTCTGTACTTTGTTTTCTCCCCTGTCTTTCAGAAGGACCAAGCTTTTCCCTTCCTATCCAGGAAGAACAAATCGACTCCAACTCCAGCCTCATCAAAAACTGACTCCACGTCGCATTAGCGTTCCCTGCGTTTCTGAGCCCATCGATTAGCGAGGGATGCGACGGAGCGTCCTCTCGCTGCCTCTGTGGGGTGTGCGTGCAGCTCCTGGGTTGCCCTTTTCCTCCTCTGAGTCTCCTTGATCAGCCCTTCCGCATCGGRACCCGTGGGTGTCATCGCTGGCGCTGTGAATCGCGTGATTCCTCCTCTCTTCCATGCGTCCTGTGCCCAGCATCCCTGCTGCCAGGGATAAGTGGATAAGCCCCTCTGGATGACTGTAACTGACGCTGTTTATAGTGACAAACCATTGTCTTTAGATTGAAGAAATTGTTTACAAAGCTGTAAGAACTAATTATTGGGCAGATGGATGTGGGAGAGGGAGGAGCTGCTTTATAACAGAGTTTGCTTCTTATTCTGCAGTCCTAGGCTGCCAAGGAGGGAATGTCTCTCTGCTCTTGGAACAGCCATCTCTAGTATTTCAGTCTAATTTCCAAATGAGCTTCCTTACCTTTAGGTAGAATCATCTCCCCTGAGCTTAGCTTAGCTTCCTTTGAGCTTTTCAGCCTTTTTCTTCTCAGGGAAGGTGAGCTGCGTGTGTTGGCTGTGCCTACGGAGACACAGTTGCTTTAGCTGGTGCTAACACTGCCCCTTCTGTCTTTTCTGCCTTCAGAGAAAGTTACTCATTGAGAAAAAGTCTTGGTGACATTGAGAAAATGCCTTGGTAATGTGCTGAGTAGTGTCCCTGTAGCCTGGCCAGGAGATGGARTTGCTCATGAGCACAGGGCAGCTCCAGATCCCCGGGGTTTAAGTGTGCCAGTGTCCTGGGATGTCCATCCTCAGCAGGGTGAGCCTGCAGCAGAAAAACGTGGACTTATCCGCTGTTAAATAGTTGRGATTAAATACTTCTGTGGGACTTGATCGCTTGCTCGGAAGCAATGCTGTAGATGTAGGGGGAACTTGCAAGCAAGTTKGGATCCCACCAGTACTCTGGATTTGGGCAAAACGTTTTTATCTCTTATTTAGATTTAGGAGCATATACTTGGTCATTTAGAMATTTTCTGTGGATGAATAACTTTGCAGTGGTGTGAAATCCTTCAAAAAAGGAGTAATTCCGTATGACTCCTCTTTAGATAAGAGACAATGGCTGGTCTCTTAGAACATCACAGTAGTGACTCTAGAGCTTTGAGGGTTGCATTTCAGCAGAGAGAGGCAGAGGTCTTCTAACAAGAGACAGACACCCAAGCTATGCTGACCTGTGTGATCTGGGTGCTCAGCTTGTRCGTGTTGTCAGGGAAACATGCGCTTAGAACTGAAGTATTCTTGGTATGGTCTATGTACATTTAAAATACAGCTGGATATGAGCCTGCATGCTATACGGAAGCAAGATTTCTACTTCTGTAACATTTTGACAAGTCAATTAGTTTGCAATTTTAGAGAGCATTGACATTTTAGCTAGCAATTCCAAAAATCTAAAAGGAAAGGCACCTGCGATCTTATTGTGCATAGCTTTTGATGTAATTTAAAATATCTCAGTGTGAAAAAATAAAGAAGCAAAGTTAAAAATTATTCTGCAATTCAGAAATGTGTTTCACTTAATATAATTCCTTGGTAGATAGCAGAGATGTATGTATTTTCTATACATGTTAYTAAAGCGTATGTGAAGATATGCAACAGGAAAAGTGTTCAAGAGTACATCTGGTGTCTAGAAACATGCTTTTAAACATATTTTGTTATATGTTATACATATGATGTACTTACTAGAGTTATTTTTGTATTGAAGTGCATATACAATGTATATAAACATTTGTATTATATACAAGATATAATAATGACTTTCAAATAAATTGCGACTTTCAAATAAATTGTGACAGTAGATGCCCATGTATGGGGTGTATGGTTGGAGTATGGAAGCAACCCAGAAGAGCTATTCCAGCGTGATTCACTATGATTGGGTGCCAATAAAAGATGAACATTGACTTTTTCATTAGGCTTCTGTGTCAGGACCTTTGAATGTGTTCTCCAGAAATGATTCCCATGGTCCTGTGGCCTCGTAGACTGAGACCTTGAACCTGGACCCTTTGCCTGGGTCTACCAGGCAGGGGAACTCACTAGTGCTAACTGGATGTGTATGTGATTGCACTTCTTTTTCTACGTAGTCTTGTCTGAGGTCTGCCTAAAGCATTGCAGGACTGGGGAATGGCCCCAGGAACTGTGAGCGTGGCTCTAGCAGATCCCACTGTGCATGAAAGTGTCATTCTCCTAAATGCATGGGATGGTCCAAAGGTCAATGCCGTGTGGCTGGGTAGGCTTAACTGGGTGGCTCTGCCCTTCGGGGAGACTTTACCAAGTTGTGTGTTGCTTCGCCCTGCGAATGGGGCCTGGCAGCCGTTCTGACCTGGGAGCTTTGAGGGATAAAGCTTGATGCCCTCAAAGGTGCCGAGCTTGGCGTTGACCGCAGCAGGTTTGGGAGCGGGCGACGGCCTCCCCACCACTGCCTCGCAGCCTGAGCCTGAGAAACGGCCCTCAGGAAAGACCCAGGAAGGAAGGAGGAATCTGGAAACTGCTTATYGAGCTTGCAGGCCCTGCAGCAAAACCCGCACCACGTTTTTCAGAGAACCTTGAGCCAGATGCAGATAACCCGTGCGCTCTCTGAGGCTGCGGGTTACGCAAAGAAAACGCGGCTTACGGGAAGCAGATGAGCTGGTGCCCTGGCTGAGGTGCAGCTCCACCACCGGAGCTCCTCTGTGCTGTGGGTTTTGGGGCTGTTTCCAYGAATTTCTTACCTGATTTCTGCCAGTGACGTTGGGTTCCTGTGCCTTCCCACCACCTCCTGCCTAGGGGTTTCCTGCGTCTAAGGCTTGAGTTGAAGCTGAAGAAGGAGCTGCCCTGGTCCCAGGGCCAGCATTACCGAGGGCAAGTTGCAATTGCTAATTCCGCTTGGGAAGGAATTAACCCGGGGGTGCCAGGTGGTCAGCAAGTTAAACGCATCTCAGCTGCTGACGGGGCCTGATTCAGCAGGTCACACAAGCTCGGGCGAAACTGGCTGCTTGGGTGTTCTTAAAAGCAGCATCTGAACCCAGCAAAGAGGTCTTCATTTCGCTTTTCTAATAAGGATAAGCGTATAAGCATGCACATACCGTGCACTTTGTGATTTTTTTTAAAGCATTACCCATAGATTTCTTCTTTCTGTTTTCTTATTTTGTCTTTTTTTTTTTTTTTTTTTTTTTTTTTTTTTCCGAGATCAACAATTAAGTTTCTGCAGCTGTGCCTGCCCTTGATCCTTTATCTTGTCGTTTTCCTCTTCCTCATCACATCCTCCTGTGACTTTAGACGTGCCTCCGAGTGACTCAGGTTTGCCATGCGAGACCTCACAAAGGTCACATCTGATAGAGGCGGCGCCGGGCGGCACGCTGCAGAGGAAATACACGGCTTGGTAACGTCACGGACTTGGGGTTTTTACATCTGTCTGGTTTGGTTTCCCTGCGCGAAATGTCACCGCTGCGGTCGGCGCCGGCCGCCGGCCCCTGCGTGGGGATCACCTCGGTGGGAAGCCACCGCGCTGGTGGCCAGGCTGTGTCGGCAACACGGACAAGCGACCCCAGGGCTTAATTCCAGGGCCCGAGGGAGAGCTCTGGGGAGTGTGGGCTGCAGGACAGGGGGAGAAGGATTTCCCAGCCCGTGGGACCTGCCCGTGGTCCCCTGCGAACCTCCCCTGCTCCTCCTTGCTGCTCGGCTTCCGAAAGCGCGGCTTAGGCGGTGCTCGCAGGGCAGCAATGCTGCGTGTGTGCCAAGAGAGGGCAGGCATTAGACAGGCTCCACAAACACCCCAGAGCCGCAAGTCCCGGGTCTAGCTAGTCCTAGCTGCTCCCAAAGCTCAAGCCTGGTCTAAAGGCCAACAGCTGAAAGCAACGCCTAGCAGCGTCGCCCTCTGGTTTCATGCTACAGCCAAGGCAATGCTCCTTAGGCCTTTTCACCCCACCCTTTGGACAGGGTGACATGACGTTTTGCTGCGTTCCCCTAAGGAGGTAGATGTCCCTGTGTCCCAACCATGCTCATTGTCTCCTTGCAGCAGCACAGTTGTGCACCTCAACTGCACCGCACTATAGTTTTTTAGTTATGAGTCACAGGGAATCTTGTGCAATCCAGCTAAAAGCTCGATGAGAGCAAATGTCGTTAGCTGGGTGACTTTCCCTAATCTTGCTCTTCTGGGCGGACAACACCTTGTACAAAGAAGTTTAGAAGTTTTTTGGTAAGATCAGYCTTCAGCCCTAAACCTGGGTTAGCACCATGGACTCCTGGATTCCAAGATCATAGGCGAGTTATGACAAATGCACAAATTAACTTTTGGATAGCAATGGAGTTTCCTACAGAGAGACAAAGAAATCATCTTATGAGATGAAGCCTACACAGTACTGTATGTTCAGTCCAGCATTTTTCATTAGTCATTCAAAAATCGCATAGACTTCATGTGAACAAACTCTTCTATGGGAAATTGCATGGCTTGCTTCTTCAGTCACTCATTATGGGTAATCAGCAAAATCTCACTATCAGGAAACCAACTACTCTCCCTGGCCTATGACTGACGACATTAAGTCCAACCAGCATTAGTCAAGCCACTAAACTTGCAAGATTTAATTACATTCGGAGATTTAGTGGGGAGATTGCACTCCTTGCTTCTTTTTCTTTTGCATCTATTCCATAGATGTGGAGCACTCTGGAAACTCTACTGGATCTGTAGCAGGTATGGAGTCCAACAGCATCAACGTACCTCAACTGTAGGACTGAACAAGAAAGGGTCACCGGATGAAATGCCACTACCTCAGAGACAGGTAAGATCAGCTTCAGAAACCCCCTCCAAGATTTTCCTGGCAGATAGGCAGGTTTTCTCTAAAAGGTCACTGCTGACTTTCGTGGTTTGGACTTGGCATGTACAACCATTATTTGTGATCTGACTGTAAATGTTCCACCATCTGGCTGTATCTGAGCATGACTGTAAGGTTTGAACAAGAATGAAAACATGTGCAGGCCAGTTCAGAACGCACCAACCAAAAAAGACACGGGAAAGCAGTGGTTAATGCTAGATGTGATAAGCACCTACTCATCAGCGTCCTCGTTATGGGAACGGATATGCCCAGGGCCTGCAGCCTTTGCCAGCTTTGCTGGGGTTCCTTGAGCACCTTCCCAGCTGTCTCCATAGCACCTTTGGAGATCCTCTGCCTGCTTTGGGGCTTTATGATGCTGAGCACAAAGCCTGGTTAAAGCTCCCGTTTGGGATTTCAGCAGTGCTAGCTGAGCTGCTCTGTGTCCGTGAGCATCCATCTGCTTCCCATCCCTCTGCTCAAGGGTTGAGGTCCTGCTCTTTGGATGGAGCAGGGAAAGGAGCCCTGGCCTGGGCGGCTGGACCCAGGAATTGTGGTGGTTTTGGTGTCTTTGGGTGGACTGGGCAGCAGAAAGTTTGTGCCTTGGCCTGCTAAGAGCAGATATGACCATAACTGCATACATGGCTGTGACTGCAGATGCCTGCTTGCAGCTGGTTTGGATTTCAGCTCCCCATAGAAAGATTTTATCTACCACATTTAGGAGCATAAGAAGATTTGCAGCATACATTTGGGAAACCAGAAGGGACTGTTGCATCCTAAACATATGCAATTGTCTTCCACCCAGGCCAGAAAGGTGGGTAGATATAGGAATAGACCAAGGACTAAGTGAAGAGTGCATTGATTGACCTGCACTTTGATATCTATAAAAGAGTCTTCAGGAAAATGTGTAGATCCCTTTGAAGGAGAAGGATTAGTGGAAGGCTGGGAAGTTTGTCCACGCTACCTTGGCTGTGCATTTAACTAAAGAGCTGACACTGAGAGTGTCAAGTGCTGCAGACATGGCATTTTCCACAAACATTCATGTCTCTTCATACCTCTGATTCTCCCTTGCCTTGACCTATGTGTCATCACATGCAGTGTGGAAAAGAATCTACTAATAACTGCCTCTGCATCACAACTCRTCTATTCAGTAGAGAAGGAGGAGAAGGAGAAAAGGCCAAGAGGAAAAGCAAGCTGCCAGCCTAAAGCAGAGGTGGGAGTACGCGTGTGCAAAGTTTCTACAGGATGAGAGATTTTGGAGTTGAGACCCAGCAGCAGGAGACCACATGTCTATATCTGTGTGAAATTTTGTCCCTTGTTGGCCCTATTTTTGTAGGACAGAGAATGGAGGAGCAGTATGGGCCCTCAGGCCACTGCCGTTTCTCTTGGCTTTATGGCACCTGTGTGGAGTTACATCAGCTCTGGAAAATAATTCRAGAGTTGCATAATCCACAGTGGAAGGAGGCTGAAAACCCTGACGAGAATCAGAATGAGAAAAACGAAAATGTCCTTTACATTGCACATCTGAGAGTTAAGTCCTGGAGGGTTCCTAARTTCGTTAGGAACTATACATCCAAATTAACAAGTCTGGGAGAGCCAAGTTCACAYCCATGTGTAATTTGCATTCATTTTCAAGTTTCTTTTGAAAACGAAGTTTCGTGCTGCCACGTTTTGCTCCTTGCCCCCTGCTCTCTTAATGGAGTCACCTGGGGCTCCTCAGCCCTGCTTTTTATAAGAATGTGATAAAATCTTTTCTCCACCCTCAAAGCAGCAGCAACAGGAAGAGTGCAGCCCCTACTACAAAAGGGCAGAGCCTTCCTGTGGTGTCAGGGGGAAGAGAGGACTTTCGGAGGGGAAGTCTCATGAAAAGCCCATGCTTGCGTGCTCTCGGCTTGCACATCTTGAGACATGCCTGGAGAAGCTGGTCTCCTCAAGACCCARGCTTGCCTGCTGCTCGTGGTGTCCCTGTGGCCGTTGGCAGAGYCAGCCCTGGCCACCCCGTGCCCCGAGGGTGGACTGAGGACCATCAGCAGGGGGGAAAAGAAATGCTGCCCTGAATGTCRATCAGATCCTGGTAAGGCATTGAAATGTCTGTCTGGCTTTTTATTTTTTACCCTGTATTTGATTGATTTGTGTCAATCACAGTAAATAAATATGGGGAATGTGTGTGTAAATGTCAGTGTATTTTGGGTAACCGTAAAAGCAGAACAAAACCACAGGGCTTGTCTCCTGCACCTCAGTTCAGAAGGTGCCTTAGCTATAAGCAGCAGAATGGACTCATGTTTTGGACTTTTTGTGTGACCTGTTCTCTGCTGTAAGGAGGGAAAGGGCTGGCCTTGCTCATGGGCAAAAAGTTTTTATTTGGGTGAATGAGCAATGAGTAGGTGAAGAACAAGGGAGTTCTCCCATAATCCATCCATTAAATCCAAATTTATTCCTTCTTCGGTTGAGTCATCCTTAGTCAATGGTCTCCACAAGCATTGGAGGGTTTTGGTCCAGCAGCTACATTTTTCATGTTCCCACTGGCAAATAACATGTGGAGATTGGTGGTGGTCATGAAGAAAGCAAGAGGCTGAATCAGCTTTGTAGGATGAACGTCTCTGCAGTCCCTGACTGGGATCTCCTCAGAGCAGGACAGGGATGCATGGCATGGGAAGCAATGTATAGGGTTTGAGGGGAGGGACCACTTGTCTCTGCTTAGTGTGGAAACACCTTCCTACTGAGATAGTCATTCAACATGAGGTAAGAAAGTGTTTGCTTGGTGGGATCAACTCCAGATGGAGGACTCCAGTTGATATAAGGAGAGAAGCATCCTCCAACCTTTCCTCTTTGGCTGCCAGGTTTCATTAGGCTTTGAAGGTCGCTAATAGAAGACCACTGAAGGCTGGTGATGATCAGAGGAAGATGTGGGCAGTTTCCCATCAGTTCTGTACGTTCCTTAACCAAATAAACTTTGTTTGATATTTGCTGATCACTGTGGGTTTTCTAAGGGCACTGTTGAGCTAGCCAATATTTCCCTATGAATTTCTTTCCTTTAAGGTCACAAGCGTTTTTTTGGTTGAACAGCAACTGATCTCCAAGYGACAGATTAACTACTTGTTTTTTCCCTATGACATCAGTAGATATGATCAGTCCTTTGCTTTCATGAGCTCAGGAGCCTCTCAGAGTTAGTGTTAATATTCTTGGAGCTTAAGAAAGGTTCATAATTGGATTCTTCTAGCAACAGAGGGGAGGAAAGACACCAGTTTTATGGCTTGGATTTCAGCACAGTTCTGGCAACAGAGTTTAGGAATCAACTGCTGCTGTTGGAGAGGTGTGGGGAGGGTGCTCCAGCTTCATTAGCCAGGCATCCTTTGGGCATCAATCAGAAGACCAGGGCTGATCCTAATTGAGAAAAGTTCTTTTGGTGTCCTGAGACTTGACTTGATGTGCCTTGCTTTCTTGGGTCGTTGCCAGTGATGCCCTCACCTCTTGGCATGTGCATCTGAGTTTCAGTAAAGGCAACCTTGCCTCTGTCTCTGTCTGCCTACATTGGTGGGCTGCCTGCATGGGTATTCCAGGTCATGCAGTGCCCATGTCATCATGATGTTGAATCTGAGTAGTGTTGAACTTGAATCCTCTAGGTTTTCCTATTCCATATTCCTGGGAATATGTCTGTTCTGGTAACGTTTTAGCAGAGGAAGAAGCTATTTGACCAGTGCCAACCAGTAAGACTAATGACTAAAGGAGATTCCACTTCTGGATTCTGCAATCCTAATTTCTCTTTCCTCTTGGCAGAAGGCGGCCACCGATGTCTAGGCGTGGAGGATAACGACTGCAAATGCCGTCAGGGATACAGCTGTGCGGATAATTTGTGTCTGCAATGCACAAAACTGCCTGAATGTGCAGAGGGAGAGGAGCTGGTTAAGCTTGGTAACTAAAATAGACTCTTCATGTCTCCTAATGGGGAAGTTCAGTAGGGGTGGTTTTGTTMACTGATGTTGGGAAGGCTTCTGATGTAAAGGACAGAAATGGCACTTACACCCTGGCTTCAGCTTCTCAAGACTTTGCTTCCTATTTTTTTGCACATTTTCTCTTAATAAAATTGGGAATATATATTTTTTCCCCTTTCTTCCATATTGTTAAACCAGACTTTTCCTGAGAGATCTACTGCTTTTGGTGACTGTTAAGTTTACACCCTCTGCTGTCAGATTATTCTGAACCTTTGTCATAAGGTTCACCTCCTGCATGTCCCAAAATGAAAAGGTGTCAAGAACTCTTTATATGTTTATTCAGGAGGCTGGTTCCTCATTCAGAAAGAGCATAGGGGGAACTCATCACCTTCTTCTCTGTAGTATTCCTATTTTTCCATTCAATAAGGGCACTGACCTCTAGTAATTCATGTTCTCTTTTCTTACAGGCATTATAGACTTCACATTCAAGTGTAAACCATGTGAGAGAGGGACCTACTCTAATGTTAAGAACAGCTGGTGCCGTAGCTGGACTGAGTACGTATTCATCAATTTTTGTTGAAATATGCATGATAAAATTCTCAAATGATTAATATTTAATTGGAAAAAAACCCTCTAAATTAGTGATCGTTAACTGATTAAATTTAATTCAGCAGTATACAATATTTATTTCAAGTTTGGCTTTATGCGTAATGGATTTCAAAACAAAGCGAAAAGAATGGGTTCAACCTGCTTTCAGGTGCATTGCAAACTGATATGAAATTATTCCTAACATGGATATCACTTGAAACAGCAAAGTTTCAAAACACCTAAACTATTGTGGTCTAGTGTTATCTTGCTGGGGACCATCCGCAATTTGGCCTACGCCACCAAAAGAAATAAAAGGAAACAAGCTGTGGAAATAGAGGAAAGGAGGAAGGGAAGCCAAGGGAAAAGTGTGAGAGGAAGAAAGAGGCAAAAAGGAATGACCTAAATGTGACTCTCGTTTTTCTTTTAGCTGTGAAAGTGCTGGATTTCTAACAGTCAAGCCAGGCAACCGTACACACAACGCTGTATGCGGTTTCCCTGCTAAAGATTTGATGGAAGGTACCTCTTCAGAATGATTTCATTGTCTAAATCTCTCCTTTTTCTCTACATTTCTTCCGCTGGAAACTTGCATAGTTATCATCCAGAGTTCACTATCACGAATATTTGCTTTGAAAATGACTGTTTTGCTTCTTGCACTACTAGCAGATGTACAAGCATTGACCAAGGCAAGATGATGCCATTAAAACATGGTCAGAAAAAGGGGAGAAATGCCCAACAACTGTCCTTGAATAGAGCACACTTTGTTGGAAAATTATCTGAGTTTTCCCTGTTGCTGCTTTGCTAGATTTTCTCAGGAAAAAGTAACTTAGTCATCCAAYTCCTTTACAAGTGTTGGCTGAAGCCAACAAAATTATTAGCCCTGGCTAATAATTTTCTGTAGATAGGGAAAATCTCCAAATTACTTGAAAACACTGCATGTCCTTAAACAAAAGCCTGGGGAAATAACTTTATTAAATATATCTAACTGCAGTTCTGAACATAAGCGAGTCTTTGTTCACCACGATCCTGGCCGTCCTTGCCGCAGTCGCCGTGTTTATGCTGATCCAGCTGACCCTCTTCTTGCACTTCTGCCTCTGGTCGCTGAAAAGAGAAAAACACCACGGCGTTGACAGTAAGTGTATTCTTGTGGGTTTCTCTGCTGTTGCACAGTGAGGAGGGGCTGTCCCCCCTTGATCTAGGCTCAGAATGGAATAATTTCCCCGTGCAGTTTGGGGTTGGTTGCTTGGTGTCATTAACGCGGTGCCCACCGGTATTTTTGCTCCTTGCTCGGATAGGAGCTGTGGTGCTAGAGGGAATGGCCAGCTAATTGGCATCTGAGAAGCCTTCTTGGATTTGTGTTTCTGCTTGTTCTCACTACAGGTCTGGAATATACCTTACCTAGGCCGTCGCATGGCTCGCACCATAAAGAGGAGACTTACAGCTGCCAGTTCCCAGAGGAAGAGCATGGGTGCAAGACCTTGGAAGAAAAACCTTGCTATTTTTACCCTCAGAGCCTGCAGTGAGAAGAGGAGGAATCCAATGTGCTGCAAAGAGGGAGAGCTGAACTCAGGTTTTCCAAAAGGAAGGAGGAGACAGGAGCTGAGAGCATAAAGCATCCTTATATACAGAGCAATAAGAAATGAGTCTTTGGGGACTTGGACTTTGTTTGTCAACCCAGGGTGACATGCAGCTCAGTGACATTACTTTATTGCAAGTTTCCTGCTTTTTCCAGTGATGATTTTTGACCTGGCTTGGGAGCAGGGGCTGTTGCTCTGATATTGCCCTTAGCATCTTCTGCACAAGTCTCTGTGGCACTTTTAGGAGCCCAAGGTCCTGTCATCAATCACTTCAATGCTACAGAAAATGCGATAATGCTGACAACACTCACAGCTTTCATGGGGTCTGTCCATAGGGCCAAGACGTGTACCTACCAATCATCTATGAAGGGAACAAGACATTATGCCTAGCAATCGTATCAAAGTTATACTAACCGCCTTATTCAATACTCCAGGGGAATTATTCCCAGTCTGAAGGACATGCTATTTTCATTATGTCTGTATTCAGTTAAAAGGGATGTGAAGAAGAAGGCATTGCACGCACAAATGTGTGCTGTCAAACCACAGGGAATCCTACAAAGCGGGACAGGGTAGAGCTGGTCACACAGCCCATCTACTCGAAGGGAAGCCCAGCTCAACCACACACCCATCGAGCTGCCCATGGGGCTTCCACTGGGGTGACTCATGAGCTTCTCAAGGCAATCCAGTCCAGTGTCTGATTTCGACCTGGAAATCAAAGAAGGGGAGAAATCACAATACTTAATGCTTATATTATCTATCCTGAGCATGAGGAAGAGTGCACTTCATTTTACTCTATAGCATGTTTGTAAGTATTTTAAAATTGCCATCTCTTGTTGGTCTCTGCAGGCTCTTAGCCTTCCTCATAGCTGTGTTTTCTAGACCTCTTAATGTCTCTCTTTTTTTTTGGTACTTTATTGAGTCTTACAATTGTTTCACCTAACTGTAAGAGAAAATGAAGCACAAAGAATTAGCCTTATCCACTCTAATGCATTCCTACATAGTCCTAGTTTAAGACTGCTGATTTAGTGCGATCAAAATCCTTATGCCTTAGCTTGCCCTCCATGCAAGACTGCTTTGACACCGCAAAAGCATGTTGTGAGACTTGTAATGTATTTTTTCCCTTTTTGATGCTGTTAATTCTTGCGTTGCTGACAATTTTTCCCAGAGGCATGCCTATGTGAAATCCACTTGAAAGGAGAGAGGGTTCTTCACAGCGCTATGAGACACGCAGAGGTTCTTAACAGAGGCTCATCCAAAGAAAGGGAAAGGGTATGGATCGGATTTAATAGGATAATTGGATTTAAARTATAAGGCTGGATCTGTCTTTTAAGGGGTTACACTGTGGGGTTTAATTTGCTCAGGAGTCTAAATAACTTTTCATCAAAGCTGTTCTTACTGCCGCTTCTATATTGGCTGTATTTATTCTGCACGCTGTATTATGGACCTTGTGTTTTGCAAACTGTATTTTTCAACACGGTTTCTCACTCACTGTGGCCTTTTGTGAAGGCAAAATAAACTTGAGATGTGAATTATGGGCATTTAAGCAAAGCTTTGGGGGTCTCGTTCGGGAAGGATCCTCTTCTTTGTGTTGTCCCGGGGTTCCGGAGCGCGGCTGAGTTTGACGTTCCCAGTTCACTTCCCTTCCCTTACAGATCTCTTTTCCCAGCAATGTACCCTCAAACTTTTGCCATTTAGGCTCCTTTTCTCCCATTTAAGCAAGTGGCTTAAAAATGTCCTGGTGCCACCCAATATCAAAACAGCAGGAAGCTGTGGCTGACATTATTTTCCGGTCCAGAGAATGGCAGAGAAGGAGCAGCATTTTGGGCAGAAGATGTTACCAGAAGTTCCTGTTCGAGGGATGAAAGATTCGTGTGGATTGACTTCCACAATGACTTCCATTAGTCAACGAAAGTCGATTTACCAGAGAATTGGGTGAGGTACGYGAGACCTTGCGGGCTCCGGGTGTCGAAGAGCTGACAATTCTGCCAGTTCATATTGAAACACGTTCACCAYAGCCATATTATTCATGGGAAATTTGCACAGTGGCCCCTTGGGTTTCTATATGCCTACCTTGAAGAGCGGCCCTGCTTCTGGCTTACCTCCCCACCTGGCTTGGGCCTGCTTATTGATGGGAAAGGCGAGCAGTTTCCTGTCCCCAAGCTCAGATTTAGTGGGAAAAACCCAACGTGTGAATCACTTAAGCCTTGGAGATTTTCAACAAAAGAGCTGTATTTCTCTCAAAGAACATGAAAGCTCGCAGCTCAGAGCAGGGAGCTGCTAAACAAGCAGCCTTTACGCTTCAGTTTCCACTCAGAAACATCTACAAGGTGGAGTCCCAGCATTTCGGCAACGTCTGAATAGAGCGTGGCTCTATTTTCAGCTCAAATCTGAGTTTATGGGATTTTCAAGTTCTGATTTAACTTCAGCTTGATCTCTCTATATACTTAAAGTTTTCTTTTTTTTCCTTAATAACATCCAATCAAATACCTATAGCAGTATTTTTTTCTCTTGAATCCCTTTTCAAAAAGATAAATACGACATCCTTAAATGGTATTTTGTGTTTACTGACAAAAAGAATGCAACATTTTAGGGCACATGCTGATGCAGAAGAAACACGTTCTATCACAGCAGTCTCACAGCTGATGACAATTAGCCCTTGTTTGGCTAGCAGTTATCTAGCACCTGTATTTAATCTTGTCTCTGAGTAGCCCCATTAACTGAGGGCTTTAATTGCAAAGCAAGTTCTTAGGCAGCTAGTGCTGATTAAAGGCTAATTGCCATGGAGTAGGAGTCTTTCCTAGCTATGTATTTCATTGTGCCAACCTAGGGAGCCTTTTTCCCTTGCCAACAATCCTGTTGCTGCTCCTTGACACCATTAAATCCCCCCAGGAGGTGAGGATGTCGTTGTGGAGCCCATGCAATGTCACCTGCTCACCAGGTGAGTCATGAGCAGCTCCAGCTCAGAGAAATGGTTGCCACAATTGAAAATTGAGAATTAAGACAACAACTTTAAGCCTGGAGAAGCTGGATTGCCTGGAGTTCTGGGAAGTTGTAATGCTCTGGTGTAAAAGCTAGGACCAAATTCAGAAATCTTCCTCTGAACAAAGTGTGTTAAGTTCATGATGCTAGGGAACGTGGTATCACTTGGCCTCCTACATATGGATTTATGTTCCTGCAGTTTGACTTCCAAAGTGAAACTTTTTGTGTTGTTTTCTTAGGAGAGGGAGAGCAAAGAGAATATCAGGGAAGAGATTTGAGTGTGAAAACTTCCAGGATTAACTTTTGCCCTTTGTTTGGGCTAGGAAGAAAAGCTGTAGAAAAGGAGTTATTCACAGTTAAGAACTGTACTGTCCCTGCAGCTTCAGGGACAGAGTTTGGCTCCCCAAACCCTTTCTTTGTGAACCAACACAGTTACCTGAATCCTAGATTCAGGGTCTAGAAAGTCCAGAAAGATTCARATCATGGCTGAGTCTTGAAAGTCCTTAAAGGTAATGTTGCTTTCTGCGCATAGCTTAGCTTCAGGCTCAAGTGTTTTATTTGTAGTATTTACACAGTGTTTTACAAAGTTTCTGAGAAGAATCAGATAATAAATATAATAGGCAGGCTGGGAAAAACATGTCTTTAAGGCGTTTGTACAGCTGAGGTCAAAAATCACAAGATTCTGCGTCGATGGCAAAGCCTGTTGCCCACATCTGGCAGTGGGAATAGTTGGTCCATCCTTACTTGCCAGTAAGGGACTCATTCTTGTAGCTCTTTCACTGTGAGATGGTGCCACATCTGACATACCTTTGCTCTTGTTGCTCCGGGCTAATGATATACTTTGGATATTGCCGGGATTTCTTAGGGATGATGGGTGGTGGTGGAAGAGTCGGAGTATCTAGGTTTTTCTCCACCTGGAACATATTTTCAGCATATAAGCATACTAATTCTGCCAAGAATTTTACATGCCAGGCCATATAAACATAGCCGTGCTCAACTAGAGAATAGTCATATTGGTTAATAAATAGTCATAACCATTAACCAATAGTCATATTGGTTAATAAATACACAGAGCCCAACATCTCTTCCATTTCTGATTCCCCTTCCCTGTTTTCTGAGCCCATGTAGGGTTGTAGATAAGCCTGTGCTCTTGCACGGGACATATTGGATATCCTGGCCAAGGGGAAATGGTTGAATCCTCAATTTCACACCTAGATACAGTCCTACTTGGAAGGAAGCAACCTCCACTTTACATGGATGTGAGAGAATCCAGGGAACAGATCATAAGCCTGTAGTGTGCTCGTTGGTATTTTAAGATGTAGTGTGATACAAGGTGTGTCTCCAGCTTTGCAAAATAGGACAAACTGCCTTAACAACTTGCCTCCTCCCCTCAGCCATCCTGCTTMTTTCAATCTTTGCATTGAAATCAATGAAAATCAGGTGCTTATGTATCTCTGTCCTTCACACCTAGGGAAGGTGTGTTTTACTATCAGGAGAAAGATGAGCTTGGAGAAAACTCCCTAAGTTTTCTGTGAAAAGGGAGAAGACAAGCTGGGAGGCCCATAGATTTGAGATGAACCTSTGTATGGCTGTGAAAGTCTCAGTCTTGAGAAGAGATTATTTCTGCAGTAAAGTTCTCTGACCGATACCTTCTGTAGGTGGAAGAGGCATTTTTCATAATCCTCCACAGTAGAACAGATGACCAGGATCGGTTCTGTCAGGCTTCCTGCAAGATATTAGGGAAGAGCTTGGAGGTAGGAGAGCATGCTACGTTTGCCATGGCACGTAGGCTAGCAKCCTATAGCAAGGGAAGTCACAGGCTAACACCTTGTGCAAGACCAATCCCCTCTCCCCAGTGCCACCCTCTGGGTTTCTTGTCTTCCCTTTTAACCTGAAGAATGCTCAGATTTCCCATAGAAAGAAAAGATGGGTAGCAGGGGTTGGGTTGACTGTTGAGCCAAGGAAGGAAGCAGGGAAGCGTATTGAAGCTTGGCACCCACCAACATGAGACCCTAAAGAGCCTCTCCCTGGTTGYTCCAAATATAGCTAGAAAGGTTATCTGAAGCAAAGAGCCAGATTTATATCTTACAACTGATCAGTTGTGCACGTTTGTGTGTGTTACATGTACATCGGATCCCATTCACTGGAAGACAACTTCATAAGACAACCCATCCTAGCACAAGTCCGAGCACTGAGTGCTGCTCAGTTCCTCACTGCTCTCACCTTGTCTTACCTGTAATTTCAAACTGCAGCCCCCCCAGCACAGCTGTTTTCCTCTTCGCCTGGATTCCAGCTATGGGGAGTTTTCCCTTCAAAAGAGTAAAAAACAACGCTTTTACGTTTTCCTTGGACTTCTCCTTTCTGCCCTTAATATTCAGACATTTTTCATCTCCTACAGTTGCTCACAAGATCCAGCTCCTCTCAGCTCTTTGCTTCTTTGCCCATTTTTCTCTATTCCCCTCTGTTACCTCATATGTGATTGCAGTCCTCTCCTTATCTACAGAGAGGAAAAGCAGATCTTCTGGGAACAGGATCAGCAGTCTTTCCTCGGATTTCTGTGGAACAGAGGCAGATAGTACATTTTAGGGGATGGAATATCCATCACCAAGTCTTTTTTAGACTAGATCAGACACATTTGCAAAGGAATGTTTAAGAAATGTGCTCTGAGATGAGAAAGGGATGGRCTAGATGACCATGTGAGGTCCCTTATAGCCCTGTGTTCTCTGAGAGCAGTTGTTTGAGCACATTAACAGAAGAGATTCACTTTGTCTCTTTAATATATATTGTACATTACCCCAACGCTGCCGCTGGCAACTTGCACCATGGCCAAGTGCTGCATCCTTCCCAGATGCTGAATAGGTCTTCCTTCCCACTTCAGGATGGTGGTACAGGATAGATGCCTCATCAGCTCCCTCTTCTTCCACTGCTCATCACACGGCACCTTCATTTTATTTTTTAATTTTTGAGACGGACCAAAAGGAGATAAAACCAGAGGTGTGAGGTACTGTGGAATTCTTGAAAGCACAACGATCTAGGTGGTTTCAATGTCAGTGTAATCCTGCCATCTTGTGGGATGTTGCAGAATATTTTATTTTATAAGAATTGGTGTAACAGTGTCCAGAATGTACACAGTAGCAAGGCTTTCCTTTTTGGTAAGTTAGAGGAAACTTGGATTTTTAACTGTGTAATTTCAATAGGCTCCTTAAGTTACAGCCTAGGGACAAAAATGATGAGTAAGTTTCCCCAAATCTCTCATGTGCAGAGCAGCAGTTGTGAATTCTCAGTGATAAAAGGTGGTATGTAGTAGGCTGACTTGCCTTAACCTTGAATGAAGCTACTACATCCTCAAATAACACTAGTGTTCAGTTCTAGCCTAACTGTAGGAATCCTAGAAATCCCATTATCCCATTTCCATGCTCTTTCCTGTTCTCATCCCATTTTCTATACATCTGTTCTACACTGACTTACCAGAAAAGAGATGAGGCTGTTGTGCCTGCTGGGGCAGGTAGCATCTGCCTTCTCAATGTGGTGCTGGAGGTTTTGGACCCACATGTCCAAGTTGGCTGAATTCTGGCAGCAGATGAGTCTGGATTCTATCATGGACCCTGGGCAAGGAAGTACACAACCCTTGGGTCTGAGGAAGGGCATCTGCAATGTGAAATGCCTTGGAGCAAAATGGGGGAATTCATCCCAATCATCAATATTTGGCTACTGTTTGGTTTAAGTAGAAAATTAGAAAAAAAGGGGGACTGTATAGCGTATATTACCTTGTGTGTGAGGAATTCCAGTTAACTCTAAAGCAGGTTTAAGGTGGTGCAGCAATTGCATCCACCTGTAAGACCCGGGATTCCAAATTCCTTCCATCCAGCTATGTCTTATTCTCTACTGAGTCATAGCTGCTGGAGAGCAGGCTAGAGAGCCTGGATCAGAAAGGCATGGTTGAAACCAGGAGAAGGCAAATGCCTTTTTCCTTGGATATCTACGCAGCTGCATAGCCCTCCTCATCTTCCATGCACACAGACTGGCCTTTGAGGACCAGCGTATGGGAATCATTGCCTTATGATTATTAAACCCCCTTCCAGATACCACCAAACAAACTTACCAGCAATTTCAAATGTGTTGCTGATTGCACTCACTACCTTTCTCATGCGCATCCCAGCAAGAGGAAGGAGACCCTGGTATGGTGGGGAATGGGGTTAGAAAGCAGTTGGCATGAGCAACTTCTCTGAGCCCTACTGCAAAATGCAAAGAGATATTTAGGAAGTCTTGATAGGAGCATGAATACGGTCAATACAAGAGGATTTTGGGCTTTACCTCGTAAACGAATGACTTCTTTGAGTGATCCACCGAGAGGATCAGTAAGTGGAAGGAGAACAGCACAAGGAAGCACTCACACATCTCCTGTTGAAATAAGGTCAGTCATATCTTTCTTCCAAAACATGTTAAATATTAAAAATAGACGGAATATAAATCTCTCAAGAGCTATTCACCTTCCCCTCCTCTTTTCTGATGCAATGTTTAGTACATCGTTGTGYACACACAGTGCTTAGACTGGTTTTTAATGGCTGGTCGGTAAATAAGAACTATGGAGTGTTTAACTGCTGGACTACCCTGCAGTAGGTCATGGTTTGACTGGAGCTTGGTGTCAGTACCTTGGAATTCTGTATCAACTTCCCTAAAATGGTCTCAAAACGATTTCTGAGCATTGATGAACCAAACAGCAGCACCCTGGTGATATAAGGAGGTTTTACTCTTACTCATATGCAGGTGGATAACCAGAGATGAATCCAGGGCAAACCTGGACTAGATCCTAGTATCCTCTTCTGAACTCTAGACATTTTTCAAGATTAGTGATAATATTAAGTACAAATGCAATGCTTTGATCAGTCACCCCCAAAACCCATGGAGACGGCTTGGATGAAAAGATACTTTAAAGAAAAAGGTGATTTCCTCCCCTACCTGGAAATGAAGGAAAAAGTGCTTGTTGACCAAAGAGGTGATCACGAAATCTATTCAGCTTGTGCTGAAAGTGATGAAAAAAGCTGCTTGTATTGGCATTAATCCTTGTAAACAAAGGTTAGAACAASGTAATGGCCTTAATCAAGCACTGGGATCTGGCTGTGGTTTTGACAGTATGTGAAGTCCAAATTTCCCCCAGCTTTTTTTTAATCTCACTAGTCACAGAAGTTAAAAGAATTTTCCAGAGYGGGAAACATCTCTTGTATATGTGGTGGTAACATAAGAACGATTACCTCCATGCGATAACTTCTCAGAAGAACCAGAGAAGAGCAAACAATGTCACCAAGAGAGTGGATGTCTACGCCTTCCCAGCCACTGATAGGCTGTGTGATCAGTAAGTCCACTAGCTCCTCCTGTGTTCTTCCCCATGGTGCTTCTGCCTGGAAGGAAGAAAACATAACCCAATCTGTAGCATGTATTTTTAATTATAGACATGTTGGAGCTAGAGGTGGGAAAATATAGAGCTAAATTCCCAAACTGGCTTGCAATGACAAATAAGACTTGTGGGTCGAACCCTTGGCCCTTCCATGAAGACCTTCCTTTTCATTCAAGGAGAAATATAATTTTATGAGAAAAGCATGTATACCTGTASGGGGAAAAAAAAAAGATGGAAAAAATGGCTCCTTAAAACAGGGAGAACTTTGTTGTATGCTTTTAGAAGTGCATGGTATAGCATCTGGTACCTTAATGCAATGGGAKACTGTATTAATGTCCTAGGGGGTGAAATAAAGAAGCCTGTGCTCTTTACCTTGACTCTGCTAATGAATCTTACCTGGTGGCCCTGCTCATACTCACATCTTGTGTCTCTGTGAGGGCCACAGGATCCTTAGGATGGGGGAACCCTTCACTCTGGCCTTCTGAAATGGACCACTTTCTGAAACGAAAGAGAATATCAAAGTCACCTAGAGAAAAAYACTTCCATGTATTATCATAGAAACAAGAAATTCATGCTCATGCAGAAGACTAATTTCTGGAATTCTGGCATAAAGCTTGTGTGTTTTGCAACACTTCTTTAGGAAAAAAAAAAGGGATAGCTGCAGAATTGGAAAGGAGGTGAAGAAATAACGCACCTGAACTCTGGGGGATAAAGAGAATGGTGTTATTTACATCTGCTTCCGAGAAAACATGAGCAGCGCTTGCCAAAACTCCAGGAGTTTGTTGTGATTGCCCATCCAAAAGAAAGAGAAAGACAGTGATATCTGTGCAAGGAAGAAACGTTTCCACCCTGAGTTTCTCAAAAACCGGTCCTTTCTCTTAAAAGACGCTCTCGCCTAGAGAGACGCAGGCTTTAGTGCAGGCTCCATGGGCAAGGGAAATAGGAGAGACTTGTTCTGCTGTTTTGCCAGAGAGATTTTGGAAAGCAACCACTCCATCTGAAGGCAGCAAGGTTTGTACTGCCGGGCAGGGAGCGGGCAGATTGACTGCCAAGAGCAGCTATCCTGATGCTATCTTGCTGTTAACTACAGCACTAAGAGAAATTATGAGGCAGGCAAACCCTCATCATCGCGCATGGACCGAGGCTGCACATGGAAGTATCCACCATTTGGTGTTGTTGTAAATTTTGGCGAGCCAAAGGGAAGAAGCAGCTTCTTCTTTAAAGGAGTCGTATTTGGAAAGCAAATATAGCCATTGAGTTTCAGTGACAGGCATGGAAAAGCACTGTTTGGTTTGGTGATGCTTGGGGATTTTCAGACGTTCCCGAAAGTGCTGCCTACCTGCTCCTGCCTTGAGTCGCTCCTGTCCTGAGCAGCTCCACCTCGTCCTGGCCCATTCCTGCAGACCCGGCCTGCCTCAGGCCGCAGCATCCCATGATCCGCYGCTGCTCCCGTGTCCGCAGGAACCCGCTCCAGTCCCCAGGCCGCTGCTGCAGTCACAGGATCAGGTGGACGTGCTTGAAGAAGCGTCAGAGAACGCACAGGAGAGGAAGCACGCATGTGTCCCCTTCCACTTTCTGCTCATTTACATTCTTTGTGGGTTAGAAGCAGCAGAGTTTGAGCATTTCCTGTTGGTTTTAACCTCCCTCCCCCTCTCCCAGGTCCTGCAAATGTCATTGCTTCCTGCTGAGATGATGGTCTGATGCAGTTCTTGTGTGCTGCTGCTTGGCTGTCACCTCAACCAAATGAGAAATGAAAGAGYCTTCATGTAGTCAGGTGAATCGTGTGAACCGTTGAGCATCACATGGGTGACGGACTGGGATGTACAACCAGGTACATCCCAGGAACCATGCGGAGAACTAGAGGATTTCCCCTGGTAAGCCTCCAAATTGGTGACTGCAGCTTCCCTTCCTCTCTCTGTAAGGACTTTAGCCATAAAGCTTGGCTACTTTCTATTGCACCTATTGGATCAAGATTGTTCTTAAAAGGGATGGGTTTTAATGTGATGTCTAAAGTTCTGTAACTTCCCTATAAATTCTGTCTTCCGTTAATAAGGCATATTAAAATAATAACTAATTCTCCAGGCGAGTTTGATGCTTATTCTTTTGTATGAGGTGAAAATCATCAGAACACACACGCTGCCTACAACCTTAGCTTTTATTTTCTTCTCATGTCCTCTGGACTGGTGAAAGCCCTCACCCTCTGTGCCCGCTCAGAGGGTTTTCCCTCCTGRCTGAAGAGCTGCACGTGCGGGACAGCTAGGATACTTCGTTGGCAATGCTTGTTGCGCCAGAAGCCAACCTTTTCTTTGGAGGATGGAAGCTTCTTGGAAGAGTTCTCTAATGTTTTGGCAGGGCTCTGACATRAGTGGCTGGGGCTGCTGGTGTTTGGCCTCAGGTACCTGCCCATGCAGGGGGAAATTCTGAGCTTCGCTGGTATCTGGCCGGGGGCTGCAGCATCTTCCTTGTAGAGAAGCACAAAACGGCCAAGTGTCTCTAAAGGCAAGAGGCTCTGGCCCTTGAGGCACTTGTTGAAAATCTCAAGAACCAGATCTGGAAAAGAAGACGCAGTTAGGAGAGAGTCTAAACTCCCCGACACCAAAATCTACCTGAGCTCTCGTGTGTACGCACAGGGCAGCTGGGTGCATGAGCAAGAGGAAGGGTAAAGGGAAGTGGTTTCCAGCCTGTGAGCTGTGACATCTGTGGACTGCTACTGTTAAGGCTTTTTTTTATTTTAAAGGGCAATTTTATTRCCACTTTGCCTACGTTCACATCACCTACGTCAACTCCACCGGGAAGGTTTCAAGGAATCTCAAGCAGGGAAAATACTGTGAAGCTGCGGGCAAGGCAATGAAGGATATGAAGAACACCCTCAAAATACAGGTGGGTGCACGCAAAAATACCTGTATCTATCCTGTAGTCTTTCCTCTGACAAGTGATGGAGTGACATGGTTATCTGGTGATGGCCACGCTACGACTTGCCCGCTTACCAAGACTCTCGTAGACGATGGTGGGAATGACGTCTCTCAAGACTTTGCAGTTGGTATGCAACGCTGGGTTTGCGTTCATCTCCAGAAGCCATATCTAGGAAAAATGGTCAGAAACTTGTAATCCAGCTTTRGTCACCTCAGAGTCACAGCAATGTGTTTTTCCAGGCTCTGTGAGCACCATGAGAGGTAGGAGTACTAAAAAACCCTCCCAAATCCCATCACATCTGTGTGGGCAAGACACATTTTTCATAAGGACTGGATGAATTATACAAAAGCTGGCACTTCATGGTAATAGTAATTAAATGCAATCCCCATGCCCCCCCCCCCCCAAAAACAAACAAACAAACAAAAACCTGCTCTGAGGCTTTCTGATGTTCACCAAAATGTGTTAAGCCAAGAGAGCTGTTTGCAGTGGTTAACACCATGAACGAGTGCTCGGGGGAATAAGGTCACGGTGTGTTACAGACGGGGAGGGCAGGATGCCACAACAGGAGCTGCAATATCCGCCCGTGCAGGACTTGGAGTCTGCTCCACAGAGCAGGGGGAGGTTTATTGCTTCAAGGGCAAGGGAAAGAAAGACAAACCGATGCTAAATAAATGCCTAAATTCACACTTTGCTCTCTTTCAGAGCTGACTCCTTCTGTGCCTGTTTTTAATTTTCTAAGCTTCTAGTTTCTCAGCCCAGAAATCCTCCCCATTCTCGCTGATAATATTTGTAAAGAAACCTGTTTTGTCTCCCCCTCCACACACAACCCACACGGGCTGTGGGAGTCTCTAAACGCTGTGTTTTCGCTGAAGCCGAGCTCAAGTTTTTAACCAGCCAAGTAGGGCTTGCCACAATAGAGTGATATCAGATCTCCTATTCTACTTAAGGTTTACACAGCCTGGGCTGTGCATGCCAACATTGCAGAGGACAATTGCTGCTGAAATGCGAGAAGCGGCCAGTTTCTGCGTCTCTGCCATTTACTCTGCCTTGTCATTGACTTCCCCTACAAAGAGGCCATTGTCTGGGGGCCGTGCCCTGCGCCGCACACATTATTTCCATTCTTTCCTAAGGTTTGCCGTTCCCACTGCCCTTCGCTGGAATAGGGTTGAATTCCTTGCTGCTTTAGCAACAGCAGAATCGGCCAGATGGCTTTCTGTTGTGCTTAGGCCAGGTGGTTTTGCAGAGCTGCACTGCACTGGAAGCTCTGTAATCGCGGTATTGATTACGTCCTTTCTTCTGGCTGTTCTTGTCTGGTTGTCGTTCAGTCTTCGTGAGTGGGAGCTGTGATTCTAGCACATGAATCTATGACGAGGCTGGCTGAGGGCTAAACCTAGAGTGAACACGGATCCTGATGCTCACACCTGAATCAATAATGACGGATGCTTCGTTACGGCTTTAGGGTGACCTCTTTGCTGCCCTGGTGGATACTCATCTCACGTACATCAGTTTGGTTCTTGTGACATTAGAAACATTATACAAAAGCATTATAGCTTGTCAACCATGCTCCACTCTTTTTATTAGATATCTGTCTAATATTATACCCAGTATACGACAGTGTTATATTCATTACCTTAAAGTTTTCATCAATTAAAAAGTCGCAGCCGATGAGATCAAAATACCCCAGCTTGCGCTCCAGCTTGAGCTTGGCCGCCAGGAAGCACTGCACCATGATCTGCTGCATCCTTTTCTGAGAGAGACAACCACCACTGTTGATCAGCTCAAAAATCACGAGCACGGGAGCTGCTGCAGGTCATAGACTAGCACTTGGTTTAGGGAGCAGAAGCCCTCTCTAGGTTTGGAAGGATGTTGCTTTCTGCAGATCACATCTGCCCGTTTTGAGTTGACTGGAACCCCCCTCTTGACGTGCAATGAGTAACAGCAACTTGTAGTGGCTGATACCGCGTTTCACTGCATTTGGAGTTGAAATGCTTGGAAATCTCTGTTTAAGTCATAACACAAAGTTGGCTGAAAAGYTTCTGATCCCTGAGAAACTTTCAGCAAACTCAACTACATTTGATTGCCAAGTGTTTTTCTAAACCCCAAAGCATTTGAACAAAGGTTTTACCTTTTTTTTTTCCTTTTCTTTGGGGTTGGGTTTAAATCATAACATTAACAAAATAAACCTCAGAAAACAGTTCTCTGCCCCTTCTCACTCAGCTCATCTCTTTTCTAGGAAGCTCCAGGGAACTGGGGGGTTGCTCTGTATTCCTGCTCCCCTAATTAGGCAGACTGGCGTGTCGTAGACTTGCATGTACTCACAGTAAACACAGTGAAAACCCAGTCCTTCGGGAGGCCATTGGCTCTCCTGAACTTCTCATTAACGTAGCTGTTGAAGCGCTCCATCCGCCAGATTGTCTCCTCTTTGAGCTGGTTGTACAGGGGGTTCTTCTTCTGCACGTACTGAGAAACGGGGACACGGAGCAAAGGGAGGATTAGATTTCCAGCGTAACTWGGAGCCAGACTGCACAGCAGACATCCAGTTCTCTTGAGTTGTTCCAAGGATCTGCAGTTGGGAAGGAACAAATCCTACAGGTGGAAGGAGTGGTGGGGACACACTCTGCTGCCATTTCTCCTTGTGTACCTTGCTATGCACGTATGTATATACGGCATCTCTGAGCCACAGCCTGGCAGACAGGGAGCGATGCTTTCAAGTCAGAGATTCATGATGTTTTTTGGAATAAAGCCTCATTAYTGCTCGGTGTCTACCTGCTTAGGAGGTGGGAAATATGTGTGAGAAGCACATGCATCCCCGGAGAAAAGCTGGGTGAGGGCTTCTCTTCCACTGTCTCATTTAATCCTGGAGTTTATGGATAAYGGGCTCTTTACCCTGTTTGGACAAAAGCAACTCCCTGTCCCCTGCAAAACAGCTTGGCCTGGCTACAACTGCCTCTTCTCTTCTCTTTTGACAGGAGAAAAATTTTTGGCTCTGAGCAGGAGGAAAGGGCAGGAAGGGAATGAGGGCAGAATTAACTGTAATTTGGAAAGCTCTGTCCTACGAGCAGATGCTCAGGTGCAGGTAAAGCTTCTTTCCCTCCTCCCAGCAGGATCCTAGATAATTTACGTTCCCCTAACATCTGCCCCTTGTTTAATATCAGTTGTGCCTTGGGGATCCTACCTGAGTCCCTGAATTCCCCTGTGGATGGCCCTCCAACTGAGCAAACAAACGATTCCAGGAAAACAAGCAGTGCACTGATAATGTCATATATTGCAGGAAGCAGCTGTAATCCTCTGTCCTGGACTGCACTTCTACAGGAGCCATAAAACTCCAACAAGAGCCGAAGCGAGTTCACCTGATACGTCTCTCCAAAAGGTGTTTTGCTAATTCTCAGAACTCAGCAATATACTRGGAGGAGAAAAATGCCTTTCAAACAAAACCATTTTCTCCTTTCTGGTCCTTTTTGGTTCCAAAATTCTTTCTATTCACATTTGCTGCCATGACTGACTACAAGTCCATGCCTATTTCGTGGGTGTCTGGGCTTTGTATGGAGGAAGCCTTTCAAAAGTCCTTTCTTTGCTCCCCGTCTACTCTCATGCTCCCTGTTAAGCCCTGCCTCTTTCGAACTAACTGCATTGCTGAGAGAAACTTCTCCAGCTCAACCATTGACRAGTCTATGAGCAGAAACAGGTCACTATAGACACGTGAGGTCCATGCCCAGCATGTTCAGTCCCAGATCTCAAAGATGAGTTAAACCTTTCTTTGCTTCTGGTTTACCTGGTTGGTCAGATGAGCAGTCAGGTCATCCGAAGCAGCATCGTAACGGGTGCAGGTCAAGCGCACGTAACCTTGGGCGAAGAGCAGCACGTAGGGCACCGTGCAGGCAATGAGGAGGTAGGACCGGACGTCAAACTTCTTGCCTTCTAGGAGCAGGGGCTGGTGAATATACCTGTCGGAGCAATTGTGCAGAACGCGGCATCAACRAGCAGCCCTAACATGCGGCAGGTCCAAGTTTGCACAAAACCCAGAGGCTGCTCATTCCACACTGCAGATCCAATCTTTTTCCTCTTATTTTTCAACCTTTTTTTTAGGTGAGTGGCAGCAGAGGGCGCTTGTAGGAGGTAATATAAATGCCAAGAACGGGTTCTTTGATCTGAAATGGAAGTTGTGCTTAGTCTCTGGAGTGGGAGGTAATTAAAGATTTACTAACACTTACTGGAGAATATACAAAGTTTATACSTGAACACAAAGAGCCCTTCATGGAGCAACATTGCTTTTATTGCCACTCTGGGAATTATTCCCCTTTATCTTCAAAGGTTACTGGATGCTTATACAAATAACCAGGATATGCTGTGAGAAGAAGTATCACTGTTCTGCTAGGACATGATGTGGTCACCGTGTGRCAAGATGTGCTTTTGCCACACCGATATTACAGCATGTCACCAGCACAGGGCAATTTGATTGCTGGTATGCCATGAAAATGCCAGTTGATGTCATCCTCATGGCATGGGTACCACGAGGTTCAGAGTGTCCTTACATGAAATATTTAGGGAAAGATTCAATGATTTGAGGCCAGTATGGCTTAACCAAGCACACTTCTTACACATAAAGGATGAGATTTCAGTGCCTACCTTTGCACTATCCTGGCCTGAGGAACCCTGCATGACCCCTTCTTACTGAGCTGGTCTTCCTCGGTGCTGTGGAGCTTCGCTTGGTAGGTGGTGACAGCAGCTCGGTTTTTAAGCAGGAAAATCCCTCGGCCTTGGTTAGAGCAAGTGGGTTTGCAGATCCAAATATCTCCTTCTGCAGAAAGGACGGGTCTATTGTAATCACATGTACAGCAGCAAACACCCGTGTGCCAATTCATGGGCTCCGAAAAGCGCTCATTTAAATGTGTGTGTGTGCATACATACATATATATATATATACTTATATGCATGTATTTTCTATATATGTGTGTATATAAACCTGCCAGTATCTGCGCAGCAAAGACATCAAAATGATTGCCCCGTTTATATTTTAAGACTTCTTCAGAGGCTCACAGAGCTGTTTAAGCTGACTGCTGGCTTGATCAATGGCAGTCACCTTGGCAAAGCTCAAAAAAGGCATTCCTTTCATCTCGTAAGTCCAGGCGAAAAGATTCCGGGAAGAACTCTCCCATCTTCAGTAACCTGTGATCAAACCAAACACAAGCTGAAAATCCTGTCCAGCATCATAATTTTCCTGTTACTTTCAGAAAGGATGACAGCAAGACTCTTCATCAGAAAGGAGGACCCTTGTTTTTTTATGCACACTTTCTTCTTGTTGGCTTATGTTTCTGACTAAGTTTCAAAGAAATTAGAGTTCTTACTTGTAGTTAGAGCTCCAGGTGATCTTGTTCATCACCCGCTCTTGTTCTCTCAGGCAGTTTAAGAGACCTATCTTAGTGGTGAGGATTCCGTTGTTGGGAATCTGGTAGAGAAGCTGCTCACCTGCATGAGGAAAACAAAACCAACAAAAATAAACCTGGTCCTTATTGTTCCATGCAGCAGAAGCTGGAGGATGAAGCTAACCTTGTTGCTGTTGGCTTTCACCCATTTGCTTTAAGGCAACAGTAGCAGGCATCCATACAGGGGAACTTCTCTAGCCTGGGAGTTGCCCCAGTTTTCCCTCGTCACCCACTCCCACTCAAGCTTGCTGACACCTCTACCTTCTTTGAAGCTGTTATAGGTGTCTCGGCACTTGGTCTCACACCATTTCAGCGCATAATCCTCTCTTCTGTTGTCAWAGATACGCTGCCAGCCACGTCTCTGGCAGTAGATGCTCACACTGCACATGGAGAACGAAACAGCAAAATAGCCTCCTTTCCATTAATAAAGACTTAGCTCAGATCCCTTGAACTCCTAACACCGTAACCTAACACACCCATGAGCATCAGGTCAGGAGGTGGAGTGGGAGGCAAGTGACTTAGATGACTGCTAATAGCCTTGTTCTCCTGCACTGCAGAGAGAGGTGAGGACCCTAAGGATACTGTGATTCAGCCTCTAATAAGGATGTGTTCCACATCAGCACGGTTATTGCAGTTAGGGTGCATGTAGTTCCACTGTCCGTCATATGGCTGTCCATAGGAGTCTCCCAAGGGGACCTACTTACAGCCCAGCTCCATTAGATCCACCAATATAAAAATATGGTCCTGGTCCCTGTGGTACATCTGGTGTCTCTTCTGTCTCTTTTGGTCCAGGACATTCCTCACCACAAGTGGTAGTTTCTTTACATCTGACTTCATCAGGTTTCACTTCAAAGGTGCTAGAACTGGCTGCAAAGTTGGAAATTGAGAGACTTCAGGTGATCAGGTATCTTCTTCAYAGAATACACATCTAATAAGACAGCTGCTAGGGAAAGAAATAAACTAAGAGAACCCTTAAATGGATATGGGGCCCTATATTACAGCAATTCAGAAATAATTTCTTATTTTACCTACCTATTTCTTATTTTACCTACAGAGTATATTAAATGGAAGAACAGAGGAAAGAGCAGAAGAGAAATGAGCTGAGCACAGATCATTCCAGCGGTCCAAAAGGGTTGACTGGGAGACCTATGGGATACTGATGGTCTAGAGACACACATAGAGGTAAGAAAGGCCTCCCAAACGTATCGACCATATACTATACATTGAAACAGATGKTTTTTTTCATCTAATAAAGCCTAGAGGATTTATAACAAGTGCCAATCCTGATRTGGCAGCGCTGMTGTTGCACCASGAGGCAGCAGAAATTGCACACATTAACTGTGCKGACAATGACTGCAGGGATGTGGAGGAAAAACATCTCACCTGCGGTCGATACCCACTCATGTCAGGGCCTGAAATGGTTCTGTTATTTACCCCTGGGCTCAGAAACAGCAAATAAGGATTTTTTTTTTTTTTCAGTAAAAAGTTAGTAAGATCTGCCTCACATGTAAGGGCTATTCCCAGGAAAGAATGACAGAGCTGGTATCTATCTTTCACTATGGTGAATAACTGGAACTTGTTGGAATAAAGGAATAAAAACTCTGAMGTTTCCTCTATCAAGATTTTTTTTTTCTGTATAATACATAGCAAAAAATCCTGGATTGTCCTTTCCTAAAGCAAAATAAGACTCAGAATCATGGTTCTGAGGTCATGTTTTGGGTCTCTCAGATATTTAACGCAAATATATGTATATGAGTTGCATATATATGTATATACAAATATATGTGTGTGTGTGTGTGTGTGTGTGTGTGTGTGTGTATGTAATATATACATACACTCATACGTATATACACACACATACATATATACATATATGTATAAAATAACTTTAAGGTAGCAAAGCTTGATACAGAAAGATTGTTGCACCCTGTGGTACTGTTAGGAAAATCCGAGTTTAATTTCTCTTTAGCAAGGTAGGAGCTAATATTGGTCAGAAATGAGCATGTAAAAACCAAAGATGACACAGGAAAGCGTAATTCTACCGGGGCTGGGAAACGATGCCTCAAGTCGCTCTTGAAATTGGCTGTGCACAAAGTTTGGGGGAGCAATAAATGCTGTAAGTAGCAAAAACCCCTCTGCTCTGGCTTCGTTCTGCTCCCATYGGAACGGGGGGAAAGAGGGAGCAGGAAGCGAGTGGCGAGACTGGAATCTATCTACTCTTTGGACTCTTCTTTTATGGTTATTTCTTCCATAAAATCACGTGAGGAAAAAACCCAGCTCAACGGCAAAGCGCCTGTTGACATAAGTGGGGAGTAGGTATTGGCCACCGTTATCKCTGCTATTTTACAAGCTCTTGCTTTATGTCTTCTTTGTGCTCCACCTGTCAACGCGCTTTGAGCAGGAACTGCATTAAATTTCTGCTTGTTCTTTTAGCACTTTGCACCAGAGGAGTTTAAGAGCGAAAGCCTTTAATGTTCTTGCAAAGTGTGCTATTATCAGTGCTAATCCCTGCACTCCTGCCTTGAACTTCCTGCTTAAACTATATACATACATATATATATATATATATATATATAAAAATATACACACATACATACACAGGTTGTCTGTGTGTGTATATATATATATTTATAATGTATATACACATATATACATATACTTGTGTCTATATAAACATGTATATACTACATGTATATTAATATTGCACTTATATATACACATATATGCATGTATTCATATACATATATGCATATGCACATGTATGTGTGTGAATATATAAATATATATGATATACACACATGTACCCTGTTATATATATGATATATATAAAAAAGTACCCTATTATATATTGCATATGTATAATATATATAGCATATATATTTTACATACAGTGTGCACATTCATACACCCATATATGTATACACGTACGTGTATATATACATATATGTGTATATACACAAACATATATGCACATGTATAGGTGTATGTTTATATAGCTCTCTATATAGGGGTATGTAGGTATATATACATGTGCATATGTACAAATATGCACATATCTATATGAAAAATACAACCATTTCAAACAAGTCAGGGCATAATATCAGTGTTGGAGAACACTATCCACATACATGTACACTATTATATATATATWKYRCAYATAYATWWAWAAA